AAGAAATCAATAATATGATCTCCATGTATAAAGAAACATGTCATTCTTTTTGTCACGGGCGTGAAGCAGAGGCAAATTTTTTAAATGCGGCAACGACTGTTTTACATCCTTGTATAGTTGCCAGTTAACAGAGAGCATCATTTTGAAGAAAAAAAACAAGGACGAGTCTTGCGATTTTTGGGCATATAATTACGCCAATAACGCCTTTCTTGAAAAATTTTGAAACAGGCCAATCCGCTCTCTACCGGCACTGATTGACTCATTCCGGCATCAGAGTTCTGAAACCTGGTTCACAAATTCTACAGTTTCAGTATAAGCCATTATCAAAAAAAATTTAGGCGAAAACGCGTGACGTTGAAACTTCTGCCAAACTTGCTGTCAATCCCTGACGCTATGATGATAAACAAATTATGCACGTGCTTGGGCTGCGTCAGCCGTAAACTGGCCAAAAAATTTAGCCGTTAGGTGTAAAAATTGAAAAATTTTAACCATTATTTGCAATGGTTAGCCGTTAAAATTTGTCTTTTAATCATAAAGGACGGAAATTAACTGTTAGCCGGAAAATGACCAACCGTTAGCCTTGAGAACCATCACTTACGTACCTACGGCATTGGGACCCTACAATAAAGAGTCCATACTTGAGGCCCCACGAGATCATGCAACCCTTTTACAAAAAAAAAAAGTATTTTGTCTTGCATCAAAAAGAAGAAAAAGTTATAATAAATCTATGTTCTATCCGCTCTGATCCCAACCGTAAACGATTCCAAATAAAGTGAGCCAATGAACAGTATTCCAATATTTCCAAACTTAAGTTAAAGAAAGTTACTACCTGTAATAGCTGGACAAGAAGTAAAATAACAAACAACAACTGTTGATCACGTTTAGAGAGAAAGGATGTTGCCTTCTTAATGGCACACCGTAAATTGCAAAGTACCAACTAACGTGCGAAGTGGAAAATCAGAGAAACTTTGACTGTAATCAGTGATGCAGACAAAATGTGAAATATGCAGTACAGAAGCCACTTTCCGGTTGCTTCGCTAACTGGTAGCCTAACACTAAAAAAAATGATGACAAACAGCAAAGGAGCAGCTTGTTCCTGCTGAAAAAATTTGGAAGTAATTACTTGCTCATGTCGCGATCATCGATAGAAGTAAGGTTGCAATTTTTTAGGCACGACGACGTTGATGTATTTGTTTGTTGTTTTGATTGAAGGCGGTAAAGGTCTTGGAGAGAGAAAGTTCACGTGCTCTAATCAGGAGACCAGTGTTTTTTTCGAAGCTTTTCTTGAAACTTGAGACGATATGCACAAAACTTAATTCAGGTGCTGATATCCACCCTTTTCGGACATAAACTATTGCCGAGAAATTATTGTGTGAAAAACGGAAATGGAATTTTAGCTCGAAGGGAAATAGTAAAATTCTTATTTATATGGCGTGAGTTTGGTTATCACATGAACTAATGTCGCTTATGTCCTCTATATTGTTACTTACAACTAGAGCACAAGCCAAGAAACACAGATAGTTCTTTATGAAAGACAGCACTGCGACATCAACTCTCTTGTAATCTTTCAGAGTTATGAATTATAACAGCATTCATGTTTCAATTAAGTTTGATAAGTGTTTCATCCTAACGTTTGTTGTTAAATCCACTCCGTTAACGATGAAAAAGAGCTAATTCTCCGTTCGATGTTGAAATTGTACATACTTACCAAGTCAGCTTCAAAGGCTCTCGTATTTACAATGATATCATCGAATGCAAGCACACCTACGTTAACATTCGAACCCATCAAAAATTTAGGATCAGTAATTTGCGTACCGACACGTGGCGCTCCGTTAAATTAATTCTTTGCATTACTAACCTGTTTGTATCGCACCAAGTTTTAACTCATCGAGCAGGTTAACATACAGAACACCGAATGAGTTGTGAATTCCGAATACCACAAAGCTTACGATGAAAGTCCCACAACAGACTATCCAGCCATAGCCGCCGTCTCGACTTATCGATTTCGTTGTAAGTCCATTATCGGATCGGTTTTCGCCTTTCATTTCTCGATCACAGAAAATTGATTTACAACCGAACCTAGGGTGCGAAACTCTTTTTGCTTTTGTGCTTATCAAGATACGAATAACAAACCAGCCAGACACGGAAAGAACTCGAAGGCTCTACTTTGTTTACCAACTGTGCGCGCCAACTACGAATTAAACCTGTCGTTACTTATGCTCTGCGTGACTTGAGGCGACCTTCATCGTGAAGGAACCGGTTGACGTATTTTCTTTTTTTGGGGGGGGAGGGGGGAAGGGGGTCAGTCATCGGCAACAGAGTACACAATGTATAAAGGGCAATAAAGAATTGCTGGTCTGTAAGCGCAGATTCTCTTTTACCTACGTTATGTAAAATGCATTTACGCCTGAGTGATCGGTCAAAACTTAACTTCGTGTTCCTTGACCTTGTCAAGTCACGTGATGTTTTTTAATTCTTGGTGAAATATCCAAGATAGTCTCGTAATGAATGTAGCTGTTAACCTTGACCTCTGTCAATATCACTGTGCCCCGCCGCTGCTACTAAACTCTAAAGCACGCACGCCAGTATGATATATAAACGATAGTCCTCATATGGGTACTCATATAGTTACGCGGATGTTACCTGTCCAAGATGCGAAAAGTTTTCAGAGAGCGAAGCTCTTGGAAATCTGTGAGGTTGAAGAACAAACCATGTCCAATGACAAATATGCATGATTATTCTCGCGCCAACTGGAGGCTATAATATTTATTATCTTTCAACGCGCAGGCAAAATGTTTACGAACAGCTTTCATTTTGCTGCGTGGGCTGTTTACTTTTCAGTTTTCTCCGGTCCGGGGTCCCTTCTTCTGTAGCAATGGATGAATGATCTATCATCTTGAATTGAATTTAAAGCAACACTTTCGTTGTGGAAGACGAAATGTTCGAAAATCGGAGAATAACATTTGAGGTTTATCACGGGGATAGTCTCCAGTTTTAATTGGTGGTAAGAGATTATAATCTCTTCCTAGGGTATATTAGATCACGCGATGCGTTTAGACTCATCGTGTCAGGGAAAAATTATTTGATGGATTATGAACACTGACATAGACTGCTATACCTTGCTTTGAAAATGACAGTGGAACTGAAAACCGTCCCTTGAATTAGGCCCAGTTCAGATTTCAATTCAGAAACTAAGTTCGAGTAAAGCACGACAGAAGCAAGGTGTCTGAAGTAAATTTTTTTAACAAGTTCGACAAGAAATTAGGTGCTACAAGCCCTGCCCTGCTAAATGACTCTGGCGCGGTTCAAGCCGTGCCTCCGCCGAGCTAAAAAATATTCACAAATTATGCTGATGTATTTTGGCGGGATTGCGTTCTTGCGGGAAGTTACAAGACTAAATTGTTATTTTGCTTCATTAAAAGCTGAATTCCGTACGACTTTAGCCAGATGTCTTAATCAGAGTCGTGTTTCTGCTGTGTTTAAGTCGAACCTAATTGCAGTAACTTCGATCGGCTAACAGAGGTACTACGTCTGAACTGGGCCTTAATTACATAACCTTGTCAGCACTATCCAAGGGTGAATGGGTGCGAGCTTTCGCTTTACTTTGGTCACTTGCTAAAATACAAGATTCCTCCTTGCAAGTAGTTATTTCTTCTTCAAACGCAGAGACGGCCCCTTAATCTCGTACCCAGATTCTACCGCATACAGTAACTGACCGCGGGCCCCTAGCTCTACATCCCCTTCCCTGCTCTCTTTCTCTCACTGATCAAAAACAGAAGAAACAAACAAACAAACAAAAAACAACAACAACAACAACAACAACAACAATACAACAAGATCTGGCAATAAACAATTCCCTGCATAGAACTGAAGCTTTATTTCATATCAGTTTAATTAAATAATGATTGCTTGATAGCAATAAATAGCCTCTTCCAAAAATAAATTATCTGAAGTACACCCTTTTTTTTCTCACATTTAAATACAATTGAAGTGCAAATAGATACGCGACCTGTGGCTAGAAATGTGAATAACATTTCAAGAAGACAAATTTTTCTCGTAAAGTATAATTTTGTATTTACGCTCTGCCGAAATTTTTATATTAATTTTGAAATAATTTAAAATAAAAAAACATTCTCTCACAGTACGTAAAATATTTCCACAACCCTTTGCTTGAGAAACACATAGAACACTGGCGTTTATCTAAATAAGCGACTTGTAGATAGAAATGTAAATAATGTCTGTATAAATAATTATTTCGTTATAATTTCCTAGTTCTGTTCCTCTCGCAAGAGTTTATCAAGAATTTCTCCACAGTACTTAAAAAATTTCCAGAAATGTTTGCACAAGTAACCCATAGTAAAACAGGCTTTTCCGCGTTAAATATTTTCAGAGAAAGTGTGCACTCAACATAAATAAAACCCACGCTTAAATTTGACGACGCGAAAAAACAAAACAAAAAAACAACGATCAGAAAAGGAAGCTACCGAAGGCTCCCTTAAAAATGCGTAATCGCTCACATTAATTCCAATTAAAAAATATATATACACACACAGACAAACCCAACCCATATATATATATATGTATATATATAATTTCACAGCAAAGATCTTATGTGGTGATATGATCCACGATCCACGTCACACGTAGGAAAAGTTAAATAACACCTTAAGAAAATGCTCAGAATCCAAATTTCCTCATTAGCCTGAAGGTCATATATATATCTATACACCACTGCTTTAAGTTCGGGTAAACTTATTTTCTTTGAGGAAAGTTATACCAATTTCACGTGGGATGAAGGAGAAGAAAACTTCTACAACATTACACCGCCAAAATGAATTTAAAAAATGCCTGTTTTCCCGCGCTTCAAGCAGTTTGCTCATGATATTCTATGTCCTCATTGGCTCCTTGAGATATTTTCCTTTTTTTCTAATTGGCTGTTGTGATAACTTTGGTTTTCGTTTAACGACACACGATCGAAACGCGCTGTAGTCATTAAAAAAAAAAAAAAAAACCAAACCTACAATATGGTCACGCAACGTACTCAAGAAGTTGCGTGACGCACAAACAAGCAACTACAGAACAGTTTCTTTATCTGCGACGATGAGGACTTCACGAGATGTCGTCTCTCCCCTTATCATGTTAGACATTTCACTTTCAGTTTCCAAACTCCCTTCATACCTACAATCTTTGTTTGAGTCCGTATTTTTGCTTCCTCTCCTGCTGGAGATGTAATATTGTCTTTGATTTCGATGCAAACGAGACACGACAAAGACAAACAGAGAAGCCATGATGCCCACACTTCCACACACAAAGAATGCCTGGTGGTAAGAACCTGTAGCTTCGTAAAGCCAGCCTGTATGTAGAGGAAAAAATATAGGCCCAGATTCTTACATATATCTTACATGTTTGGGTCCTTTGGAAAGAAAAAAATGCATATTTTTTTCTTTCATCATCACTTTGTTAAGCACTGTGGCGCACTTTGTGGGCCGAAATGGAGATTAAAAGGTTGAATTGTATGGTAGCCCCCTCGTACGCTCGCGTGATCATTTAGGCTGTTTTTCGTTTGGTCATTTTTTTTCTTCTGTTTTTATTTTCTCGATGCCCTCTCAAAGTGATAATGATTGTAATACAGTTTATGTTCTTGAGCATAAATATGTCTTGTACCCTTTTTCAAGTCATTTTAACCTTCGCCAAGCGGCTCGGGCTAAATTGACTTTGAATCGGGCCCAAAACATATTTATCCCCGTGAAAATAAACCATGCTGTCTTGATAGAGAGCAAGAGAACGACAAAAGTTTGAAAAATCAGCTGAAGAAATTTGAAGTGTTTAGTAATTGATTCTTCCCCCGTTCCCTTGTTTCAAGCTTAAAAGGCAGAAATTTTCAAAATGTGCCACATAATTCTCTTCTTACCAGCGACCGGTGGTCCAAAACTCATGGGGATGGCCAACACCCCAAACATATTTCCCACTGCTTGTGAGAGCCTGTTCTTTCCAGCAATTTCTCCAGTGATTACAGCCACTTGCCCTACAAAGCATCCATCGAAAAAACCAAACACAAGAGAGTAAGTCAAGAGACCCGCGTAGCCTTCTGTGATTGGACAGATCATCGTGCTAAGTCCTATGATAAACACTGAAAACTGATAGACGTAAACTTTGTTGACCCATCGTAGTTCACAGATCTTCCCGAATATCACACGCCCCAAAGTAGACATGATCGAAAGGAAACCGACCAGCCATGCTCCTCTGGAAGTCGGGATACCAAGATCATTGGCGTATTTCACCTAGAGGAAGATTAGTAAACAACACTTATTGACATGACTAAAGCAAGCTTGTGTGTAAGGTTGAGAGAGAGCCAACCGTCAAACAGTAATGCACTTTGAAGCAAAATATTGACCAGCAAGCGCCATATCCACCTTTAATAGAGCGCTTACTCAGAATTATTTTCAAAGTATGAGCCACAAATGGGCTGCTGTCGTACAGTGTTTGTCAATGATTTTCTATTCACATTTCTTGTGATTTGGCGTTATTTCTGTAACTTGTATGCCAAATTTGCTGCATCACTTTAAGATTAAATTATGCTTTTGTCATGTTTTCTGGAAAATTCAAAGAGAACTGAAAGTAAAAAAATAATAAGCCAAGATATGATTTACTCGTGAATGACAGCCTTCAAATAAGCATCGAATAATACTGCAACAAAAAAATAAACGAGTGAGTAAAGGAACGAAGAATTAAAGCAGTCATTGTGTTGCAATTTTGAAGCTTGTCCCAATCATTTGTGCCAATTATTAAGAAAACTCTTTTTTCCAGACCACGTCAGAAGGATGTTTTAAGTGCAGCTGGTTTTTTTTTTTCTTTTGAGCGTCAGATGAAGAAGAGAACGCCAAGAGCAAAGGAAATAGTAAATGTAACAAGGTAATTTAGTGTTATCAACTGAGTTCATAACGCAAATTGGTCACCGTAAATATTTTAAAGGCTGTCGTTTTGAGCGTTAGCCCTTCGTCAGATCGATTGAAGGAGTTTTAATTTGGGTTTTGTGTGGGTTTATATACAGAAAATGGACCTACGCCATTGGTAACTTTTACAATGTTCACCACGCTGCTTACAATCTTCCTCAATCGTCGACAGTAGAAGAAAGATTCAGTGAAGATGACACTACGTTGCGCAACCTAACTTTGGTTCCCTCAAATTGTTCAATTATAATTATTTTTTGTTTTGTTTTTTTCCGCTTGGATTTTCCTTTTTTCTTTTCTGTGTGCCATGCAATGTTTTCCTATACCTTGCGCGCAAACTGCCAAAGAATTATTACGTTACCAAATAGTCACCGTGGCACAACGCCACAAACAGCGCATGAAGGTCTCCTAACTTACCAAATGGACGAAAGGGACCGGATATCCGAACTGAAATAACGCTACTGTTAGTACCCAGGCTACGTAAGCCCGGTTCCTCCAAATTGAAACGTCACACAACTGGCTACACTGTTTTGTCACGGCTCTGTCACGCTGTCTTGTTTTCAGCGGTTTATAGAGAAAGCACGCCACAACAAGAAACGCTGCGACTCCACTGAGTATGCGCAGAGAGTTACTCCATCCGACGACCCAGAGTAAGTAATTGATGGCAGGCGAGGCGACCAATGAACCCACTCCACTTCCGCTGGTACCTAATCCATTCGCTAGTGCCAGTCTTTTATCAAAGTATTCTCCTAACATCACGATGGAAGGTACAAAGGAAAAACTCGACCCCACCCCCCAAAGAAGTCCATAGGTAAGGTACATGTAATGTAAGCGAGTCACAAGCGACGTAAGAAAAAGTCCAGTTACAGATAGAAGGGCGCCAACAAACGCTACTCGACGACATCCAAAGCGATCACACAAAATACTGCACAGCGGACCACACAAGAAGTTGAGGGAACCGGCCATTGCACCAACCCAGGCTAAGGAGAAAGAAGGAACAGAAAAAGCAATGCTACCATGTCAGCGGTTACATTTCTGAATAAACACACCATATTATGAAAGTGTCCTAAAATGTTACCTAATGGCTGCTGCTAAATGATGTACAACCTGAGTAGTTTCAATGTAAATTATATGCAGAAAAGATCAGTTACACTGGAAAACTACAGGTAATGTTTTCAGAGCAGTTAACTTAACATGCCATCAATCTATGGCCCAAGAAATGTTACTCTGCTAACCTGAATTTAAACCAAACAATAAAACATTATATCATTTTAATTGTATAAGTGGCCATATCTGGTAAATATATCAACACTAGCAAATCATTAAGGGTTTAAATACTTAATAAAATCATCCCAAATTAAGCTAACCCTTTAACTCCCATGAGTGATCAAGACAGAATTTCTCTTTACAATATCAATACAATATCAAGCAGACAAGTGATGAGAATAAAGAAAAAATAGAAATTAAGGGAATGTAAGTAGATCCATGACCAAATTCTCCAACCAAACATCACTAGAACTGTATGGCAGACAGTAAGGAGAATTACTAATGAGATCTTGGGAGTGAAAGGGTTAAGAAACTTGACAATAAAATATTAAACCCATGCGGTAAGTTAAAAACTATGCCAAATTAGACCGTTGGAAGAAAAAATTATAGACTGAGATGAATCCTGTCACAGTGAACAATGCAGTTTGATAAAATTGATAAATTGAAGACTTTCCTTTCATCTGGAGGATTTCAAGTTGATCAACCCTCCTTATAGGAGGTCCAGTGGTCAATGTACTAGACTCTGGGTTGAGAGGCCTGGGTTCAAGACCTGGCTTGGACAATACATTGCGTTCTTGGGCAGGCCATTTCATTCTCACGGTACCTCTCATAAGAGCACACTTAATTTGGAGCCTTACTCTGTTATGTGTTCTGCGCCATCATGGTGAAAGCGATTGAAAAAAAATCAATCTCCTTAATGTCAATTTTCCTTATTACCATTAATTGTCTGCTTGATATTGTATTCATATTGTAAGGAGAAGATCTGTCTTGGTCATTCATTGGAGTATAAGGATTAAGAAAATCATAATAAAACTGGACAATGATTTGGATCTGACTTGTTCTGCATCACTCGACACTCCAAGCAACTCTATGTGAGAAGAGGGAAATTCAAGACCTCCCTAACCTTGTCTTTATGATCTGAACTATAACTTATGCAACATTGTGTTCCCCTCTTGGATTTAAGGCACAAACATGAACATGGATGAAACTCAGTCTATAATTTACAGTGCAGACCTCACATGCAGGTTTACCAGCTAGTTATTGTTCTTACCTGTCTCAGCTTCTCCCATGTGTTGTTCATCTACCAAATACTCGTACACAACACCAAATGAGTTATGAATACCAAACACTATAAAGTTGACACTGAAGGTACCACAGCAAACCACCCAACCCCACCCTCCATCAGGCTTTTCACTCTGCTCCTGTTCTGATTCCACAGTATCATTGTCTTCATCAAGGATTTGCTCTTTATCCTCCATTTTAAACCTATCTGTGCTGTTTCTTTTTTATTGGAAAATGGAAGCCATGGTTTAGATCCGTAAAAGCAAGTTTAGAAGAATCTGTCATGTACCCATAAAAATGGTGTGATAGCTACAAAAGAAACATCAAGCTTAAGTACAGTTTTTGTCATCTTAAATTTATATGTAATAAGTAAGCAGAAGTTACTCATTAACAGCAGCAACCAGATCATCACGTGCATTCAGTGGAAAACATTGTCAACTACATTCAAATTTTGAGTAACACAACTTTAAGGTATATTCAAACTTATTTGTGTTTCTGCTCTCTAAAGGTAGTAATAATATTTTCCTGCCCTATTGGGTGATCAAACCCTTGACCTTGAAAATCACTAATGCATCCATTAAATCTGAGAAGGAAAAGACAAAATTGAGGTGAAAGATAAAGCAATTAAGCTTAAATTTTCAAGTGAGTCACCTTGACATGGTTGAATCACTTCTGCTCTTGGTGAGTTTATGTCAGAATTTTATCCATGGATAATAAAAAAAGATAATTTCAATTCTAGAGCCTTAAATTTACCTTTAGCAGTGGAGTTCATGCACAGCATCATCATGTTCAGAAACATTCAATTAATTTGCACATCTCAAAAGCCATTTAAAGGAGAGAAAAAAAACCTTGACTTAATTTTCATATTTCTTCTTGCAAAATTTGCATGAGAATTTTGCAAGGTAGAAATACATAATCAAAATAACTTTTGTGTGCAGTGACATATTGATTGCATCTGAAGGCTAACAGGAAATTATGCTCTCTGAGAAAATTCAATTATCCAAATGAATCAAATGGCTCCTTTGGCTTCACAGAAGGTGAAAACTTTAGCTAACAGCAGCTGCTGCATATATTGCTTAGAGATTAAGGTGGCAATGTATAGCAAAACTTTGCATTTACATGTGACTGCTCTTTAACTTTTTTGCTGCTTTGGCAAGGATAAAGTTTCATGTTGCACAGTGTCTGTTATGAGGGGAAACTTATTTTCCTGAACAATTGTTAAAATTTAAATTTTTGAATATGAATAAGACTTCCTTTAGCATTATCAATGAATTTCTGTACAAAACCTTTCTTCTCCATTGTTCAGTGAGTACCTATACTACGATAAATCATTTTGGGAAAATTCACGCAAAAACGCACGGTTTTAGTATTTTTTTTTGCAAAAAAATTATGAAGTGTTATCTATATTTGACAAACAGAAGCAGGTGAAAAGTGTGCTTTCAGTCGCTGCATGAAATGTCTTTGAAAAAAAATATATTTTAAAAATATATCTTGTACCGAAACCGAAACGAAAAGGCTTCCTAAACTGGTGGGTTTAATTAGGTTCAAACCAGCCAAAGGAAAACGTATGTTAACAGATTAACTCTCAAGTGAGACTGACATACTTAAGATGTGGCGAGCTGTTATTGAAATAGGACCGGTGTGAAAAAGTTTCTGTCTACAAACATAACTCGTATGCTTTCCTCTCACGTTAAAATCCAATTTTCACTCCTGAAACCTTACGAGAGCTTAATCAATGCGATTCCTTCTGAAAACTGAACTTGTGCAATACACGTCTCAGAATTTTAGTTGTTTAAAACTGGATTCTCGTTAAATCGTGATTTAATTCCTTAAGAATAACATTCAATTAAATACAGACTTCTTTCTTTAAAGAAAGCTCTATAATAAACGTATTATGATATCGTTTTTGTTGGCAATATTTTGTCTCTGTTGGAAAATCTCAGATGTTCGCCCGCAGCTCCTTGAAAAAATTATGTTATTACTATTTCAAGGCGTCTCGCTAGGCCGGAGGCGCAAAGATTTTGACCAGACTTCTTCAGGCTAACTCTCTTGAATATTTCCAACATACTTCATACGATTAAGTCAGTCTCACCTTGGTGACTTGTTCGATGTCCGAAAGCGGCTGAAAAAATTCGTAGATAATCTGAGACTGTCCACGAGGAAAAAATATTGTAATGCTACGTAGTTTTGGCAGAGTGACATTGGAGACAGATGACGCAATAGTAACGCTTGGTGGAAAAATAAAAGGGATGGACTCCTGGATTCTGAATAACAGACCTAACAAAGCTAGCCTCTTGCCCGTGAACAGACGAAAATATCTAGACTTATATGAAATATATTTTTTCTCCTCGGATAGGAAATATCTAGCTTTTAAACTTGTGACTATATCAAGATCAGTTTTTCTTTTGTAAAAATTAGAAGGAAGAACTTTGAATTTCTGAAAAATTTCCCATTATTTCTCGTAAATGTGATGACTCATTTTTCTCTGTTTTGTTATTTTTAACGGGACATTTAGCTTAGCATCTCGTTCTAAAGATAGTTGCATGTTACAAAAAAGCTTTGTCACCAAGAGGTGTGGGTGAGAATGGGGAAAGTGTATATGCGTTTTTTATTGGGGGTGGGAGGGGGACTTGTTTGTACGTTGTTCATTCAATCTGCAAACCAGAGTAGCATCAAACTATGTCTGATTGTCCACCTGGTTGCCGTGTGAACTTTAATATATTTTGTTTGTACGTTTTTACCAGAGGTCAAAGTTTATTTATTAATATTTACTAAATGCACAGAGTCGAGATATTTCATCGATATCGCTTGTCCACAATTAAGTGGTGTGAACCTGTATCATTGACGATAATAGTTATCTGAAGAACAGGAAGGAAAGTCTCTCGCGTCCGGAAGGAACACTGGATACAGGATAAAATAAAGTGCATTTATGTCCTGGCTTTCACTGGAGATAAATTAAAAACAAAGGCGTCATTTTAATGTATTTTTCGGCCATTTGTTGCGAAATGTAAAGGAAGTCTCCGGTGTGTTTTCTTGTTTTCATCGAGAACGTCGGTTTCGAACTGTCATTTAGTGCAACCTGTGTGAGATTGCGTGATGTTTGTCACACAACGCAAACTTTGAGTGTTAACCTAATTTAAATGCTCGACATCGAGATGAAGCAACGCGCCCATAAGTATGTCACATTTTGAGTATCTTTCTATTTCAGGTATTAATCAGCACAATTGACTTTGATTGCATTCCAGGTTGCTCAATGACATTCAAAGATGACGTGTCCAAGACGTTTGGGAATTTGTTATTTGTCCGTGTTTAGTGACGCGTTTCCCGCCTCTGATTTTCTTTTGTTTATTTTTGTTTTAACGCTTTTGTTATTCAAACATATTTGCTAAACTCGTAGGGCGCCTTTCAAATGCAAAATTTACATATTACTAGTATTCGAGGAATCCACGCGTAACCTGTGAAGAGAGCTGCGCTGATCAATAGACTTTGCAGGCAGGTTTCTATAATTTTGGATACTGCAAAATTCCACACTTGACGAGGACTTCGCAAAGATGGCGGCGAACGAGTCGCTTCGGAGGCAAAGCGAAACCCGAGAGTCAGCTATCTTCACGCAAACCATTCGAGAGCGGACAGGTATTTAAAGCTGTGCCGTTTAAAATGTTGTTACGTGTTCGCTGATTGCGCCTTTAAATAATTGAAAAAACATTTGTATGTATGTTTCATTTGAATGCTGTTTCATATGCGGTACCCCAAATTTATCTGCCTAACGAGCGAGTAAACTGCTGTGGAGCTTTTTAAAGTAAGAGTTACTGCAGCTCCTATCGGAATGTTTTTCTTATGTACACGATATTAATTCGTGTTTGGTCCAAATTTTGTCATTTGTCGTCAACTCTTGTAAGGTCAAACGTTTAGATATGAAATTAACTTTATTAAGCCGTAGCTTCAAGGCGTCGGCTACTACTGATCGATAGTTCGATTATGAATCGCTCGAACCGAGATTTCCCCTGTGGTACTAACTAACAATCGTAAAAGTCGCAGATTGGGAAATAATTTGCATAGTTTTGTTGGTAAATTAATTGTAGTGTTCTGAAGCACCAAGTGTTAAGTGCCTTGTCAGCAATGTTCCCTTGGAAATTGAAGAGAAGATCATCGAAACTTGATAATTCTTATGCTATGTACACTTTTCCTTGAAAGAGCAACACGTTGAAAATTGTCTCCTGCTTGCTGCATTCTCTCAAGTAAATCAACTGTTAACATTTCCTTGTTTCGAAGTTGAATGCTTCCCATTCTTCACTGATGACGAAACAGAATTGGCGGTGACAGTTGCTCGGTGATGCCAGCTAAAAAGGGTTCTTTATCTTATCGAATCAGTTGTTTTCATATTTTGACTCCCTGGAGACAACTGAATGGTTTCCTTGCAAACTCTTGGCGCTTTCAGACACAGATCTTATTTTAAAAGGGAAATTTGACCTTCAAGTAACATTTCTTAGCCAGACAACCCTTACTCGGCTGTTTTCGAGCTGATTCGGCCACCCGTACGGTGTTTTCCAACTGACAATCTTCACGAAAATGTTTTTATTGCTCAACCTCAAAAGCTTTTATTTTTACAAAAATATGAATAACAAAATTGGTAGCAAAAGTTAGAATTGTGTATCATCGTCAAGTAATCTAAGTCTGTGTTGATGTACTTAAATATATGCTATTTTCTGTCAACCAAAGTGATATGAAGGAGGTGAAAGAGATGTTTAATAAGTTATTTATCGGCTCGAGGTAGTGACCGACGTCTTTGTCTAAAAATACTGCCCAGCCGGAAAAACGAGATAAATTTATGAAAATTGGTGACGAAGGTAGGGATGTACTCGGCGACTCACTGAAATGTTACCCTGCCCGCGGGCAGAGATAGAAATAGAAGGACCGCACTAAGAACCAATCAGATTTCAGGATTTGTTATCGTACCCTCTGAGAAAAAAATAAAAACAAATACTTCGGATGACAGCGGTGACGTATTCAATTTTCCAGAAAGATGTAGCGATTGTACCACATTTGTGTAAATAAACAAGTGATTAAGTTATAAAAACAGATTTGGAGACAGTATGCTCTGTTAAATGTTTTACCTGGTAAACATGCAGAACAAAACTGTATTTTAAAACATGGCACTTGATGAAAATTACTTTGATGCGTTTAAACCCTCGGGCAAGGTTTAACTGGTGTAGAAAATACACGAGAACTACTTTTTAAGTTTTGAACAGGATGATATTGACTTCTGTGGTTTCAGACGAGTATCGCCTCTTGATTTAAAAAAGTTGCGATTTTGCCCCACTCAAAAAAACACACATTTTGTGTCCGTGTTCAGTTCGGAAGACGAGGTTATTCATCGAAACGCTTTTCTGCGGAAAAACAAAGCAAAACAAAACAAAAGAAATAAAAGAGTGTCGATTCTTCTAGCTCTTTTTCATTTTGGGGGCCTCCACGTACTTATTAAAATGCGTCGATTATAAAAACGACTTGATGAGTTTTCTCCTGTAATTTAGGCTCTGCAAGACCTTCAGTCCCTATTTTGCAAAGAAATACTAGGTAGTACACACAAATACAAAATATTCTTCTCTGGGCCAAATATTTTTCCAAGAAACTTTGCTCTCTTTGTCTCAAATATGCGAAATTTGACTTCTTTTATCGAACACTCTTACTAAACGTTATATATGAATTATTGACAAGCAGCCATAAGAATCTCGACTCTTTGATTGTCTCCTCCCATACCCGTTAGACAATTAAAATTACAGTCCTTAATGAAACTTAAATTGCTGTTAATCATGCTGTTTTTAATTTTCGTTTGTTTATATCAATAATTGATCGCAGAAGTTTTCAAGTAACTGATTGTGCAGCGAATATTTGAGCCTGCAACAGTCGATAATCGCCGGTCAGTAAGGAATCTAAGCATCGTAAGTACGTCATGCATGAGGAATTATTATGGACATTACTATATGTATGTAAAGTATAGGACATAATATTTATTGAGTAGATAATAATTCCCCATACATGACGTACTTTGGCTAAGCATTAATATTTCCGCTAGCCACAATGCTCGCACGTCAGGCAGATACTTCACGGTTGAAAATGTAGTAAACTGCTTTCTTTCGTTTTCTTTTTCTTTCTTTTCTTTTAATTTTTTTTTGTCAAAATAAAAATAGAATGATATTCCTAATCATATAGACTTACTAAAGTGTTATGACCAACTCTGGTTACTAGGAGCTTCCTGTGGCTAAAAACTGAAGTGCCAATAGGAACGCGAAACAACCGTAGGTTTGACTCATGCTAGGAAAACCTATTTTTCTTTTTTGTGGTGTGCCTGTGTCGTTACCGACCAGGAAATATAACCAGCTTTCGCAAAAGGCCAAGAGTGAATATTTTGTCGTTAAAAACTAACCCACAATAAAGTCTGAGGAAAACTACAACAACAGACGGTTACAGCTGTAGACGAATTGCAGACTGAATATCTAATAAGGAACTATGAAAAATTAACTTCAGTGGGAAAAAAGACACAGCTCGTTGAGTGAAGGATCGATGGACACGGAGCAAGCAATTGAATATCCTTCCTTTGAAAAAAAAAGTTCCAGGTGCTGTTAGATTTACTATTTAAACTTATTTTTTCCTTTCCTCAATTTTTTGTGAATATATTCTGTAAAACAGCATCCTTTAGCTAGTTCCCCTGAAGTCTACCGTCAGTGCTCTCATTTAAGCACACCTCTGAAATAGAGCTCTGCTCTCTCATCGATACCAGGGACCAGAATAGAAAGTAAAGATGTCGACAAATATATCACGACAAAGTTGTAGTATAGTTGCTACACTATTCAAAATTGCAGATCAACAAAGACTGACTTGAATGATTAAGATGCATTTACTTAAGTTACCTCTCTCACGTTAAAACTGATATATCGCTTTATCATTTTACTTGCAAAAATTTGAATGTAATCGGCCTCATCTAAAAAAGGTTTTCCTTTTCATTTAATTACTGCTTAGTAGTTTTCGACTCCGTATTGCGTGCGGCTGATTCTGTATTTTGGGCAAAATGTTATTCTTACTGTATGCTAAGCGTTAACAATCTGGAACTTGCTTGCGGCATATTTTTGTTCTCTATTGGTTTGACAGACAGACATCGAAAGAGGGAAACTTTTCCGCTGCATATTTTATCATAATTTACGTTTTACGCCGTGAGAAATTGCGTTATCAAACGTCGATGTGGTGATAGTATAACCCAGAGTTCTGCAGCATAGACTTGAGAAAGTAATAGGAATTATTAGTTTGGTTTATACGAAAGTTTGCCTTGAGTTTCAGACGTGGATCAAAAATAGTTATTTTAAACCCCTATCGTTTAACATAACTCTCTTCATCACCCACCACACGATATTTGTGCGATCGAAATCTAAATGAATTTTCTCAAATTGTATTCAGCAAATAATTTCTGTTCTTAAAGACAGATAATTTGCAGGAATTGTGCGCCACAAACATTTCAATTTTTGAATGAATATGGAAAAAGACTAAGGCGACGCTAGAAGTACATTTAGGCTATATTCTGTGAACTTTGTTTTCCATCTCTTAATTTACATCATACATATCACACGTCGCTTTTTATATCAACTTACTGATGCATTAGTCGCTTACCCCAGAAGCGGAAGGCACATGCAAAGATATTTAAGTAGTGTTCTATTTTTACTGCATAAAAATTAAAATTTGAAGCCAGGATATAACCTGACAGCGCTAAAAAAAATGCAGCAAGGTAGGTCATATTACAGTTTTTCGGCCTCAAGTCTACACCCCACAGAATGTGCATGCTTGTAAGTGCGTATGTTTAGTTTTGTGAGCGAATTCTTGTTAGATCCTCCAGAAATTGATATATGAAAATCGCAGATACCTAGGTGATTATTCAATTACTATCACGATATATCTGTCGGAAAACAAATTCTTCCTACTCCGGTAGGTTTCTAGGCTTATTAAACCTAAAACAGTTATTTCGTATTTTGTTCAAGACATGTTTATGTAATGTGAAGTTGATTTAAAATAATATTGACTTTGCAATAATTGTCAGTCAGTTGAGTTAAAACGTTAATGGTAAGAGGCGGTTGTCAGGAAATCGTCATTTTCTGATGCACCAGATGAGAACCACCTGGTTTTCTTGGATGTGTTGTTCTTTCTGTATTGAATAAAATAATTCAGCTCAAGTTATTTGTTTGCAAATCCTGTCGCGGAAGACGGATGTTAAGACCAACATGGAATGAAAAACAATATTGTTCTTTTCGGATGATCTACATAACGACGTGATTAAACTAAAGAACAAAATCAATTGAAGATGTTCGGATCCGCCGGCGATGATCTGGTTTGCGTAGGAAGAGGTAATTTTCGGTCATGGTCCTTTCTGACGAAAAAGTTTTGCATCCCGAATTTTGTTTCCTGTCAGACCTTAATTTTTCAGACTTTCTGTACCAAGTTATCTTTTAGTGGTAGTTTTTTTTACAGTTTTAAATAAAAGTAGCTTATTCTAGTCGTGGATTTTAAGATTATTCTAGGAGATCGAAGATATCTATGTTTGGGAGGAAGTAGTGTCAAAGCAACTTGAATTTTTTATAGTACGTGATTAAGCAAACGGCTAACTTAACTCGACGCTATTGTGTTGATCTACCAGAAAATTCTCATCAAATATGAAAGCCAATGTAGGGAACATACAAGGGAGAAAACGAAAACTTAAGGAGCAGTTTGTGACGTTTGTAACGATGTGCGTCAACGCTAGAAAGGTGGAGGGAGCTGTTCAAATGCTCAATGGTTGGCTCACGTGGCTTTGGCTTGATATTTTGTTTTTCTTAATATCTAGGAGAGCGAGAGGAAATTCATAAGAAGACCTTCCAAAAATGGATCAATTCAAAGCTCGCAATGGTAAGCTAAGGGCGTATTGGACGTCGTTGGTTGACTTTATTTATCTACAATAAAACGTCTTAGGGGAAAAAAAAGAAAAGAAAAAGGCAGTAAGTTTTTATCTCTGCCATCGAAAAAGGTGTGGTTTAATTAGGAACGCATTTTGGGAAGGTCGCCGCCATTTTAATTATTGCCTAGCAACCTTGCTGCTTTCCTTTGAAAAAATCGCACTTTTTTCTTCATTTGGCATCAGTGCATACATACATGCGCATTTTTTTCTACATCACATGTATATTATCGTATTCCATTACCTACTTAGTTATACGTGTTATTGATAAAACAGTCTTGCTGACGAAAAATTACGTTTTTTCTCAAATGTCTCGTAGGCCGTGCCACCTTTAGAGGTGAAAGATCTTATCGAGGAAGTCCGAGATGGACATGTGTTCCTTTCTCTGCTGGAGGTCCTCTTGGGAACAACACTGGTAAGTCTCGTTGTAGTAACGTTTGGTGACGTCATGAATGTATCTAACAGTTGGCAACAGAAACCGTTGTCCCGTTTGATTTTTTGAGACCTTTTTTGTTGACGTTCTGTTGCTTACTTGATGCTTGTCTTCATATAGGATTGCTAATAGTTTAAAACATTGCATTGCTGGCCGAGGACCATGCTAACAAACTGAAACGGGACTGTAAGGCACATGTTCTCAAGTAGCTGATCTTAATGAGCTACAGTATAGTAACTTTCTTTCACCTTTCTATCGCGAGGTGATTATAGCAAAATATACCACAATTCTCAACCAGTGAATGCTCGCATATCAATGAGTACTAGATTTACAATTAAGTATTATTATAGCAGCTAGGATTCGATAAAATTCTGAGTCGTCTGGCTTCGCAGCCCCTATTTGGTGTCGTTACGTATGTAGGCCAAGAATGCGTCTTATAACAACCGCGAAGGAGGGTTCAGAACTTTTTTATTTCTATGTAATGCCACAGGCCACGGAACAAAATGTCGGTTGTAAGGACAGCGGAGAGTTTGCGAATTACTTGTGTTTGACTTATAATTTACAAACTCTTCTTAAGACTTACAATAATTGCCATACCTGCTTCTCTACCACTAAAAAAAAAGTTAGTGATACGTTAAAAAATTCGAACGTTTTTTCGACAGAAAAGAGAGAAAGGCCGAATGCGCCTCCATAAACTCACCAATGTGACAACAGCACTGAAGGTGTTGGAAAAAAACAAGGTAAGGTTGCATTTTTGTAACTAATGTGTCGATCAATTTGATGCTTCAAGCCCCCCAAGGCAACCCACGAGCATTTAACTGTTAGGCAACCCACAAGCATTTGAACGTCGTCCATTCTCGGGGTTTGCCCGGGGAGGGATGCTGAAGCTTCGAATTGATCGACGCATAAATTTGTGTCAAACTGCAACGAATGTGGTCATTGTCTACCTCTAAATATCTATTTCTTCATTCTACGAGGGTTTTTTTATTTTTTATATTATATTATATATTTTTTATTCTTTTGTTGGTGGTGATTCTGCACTTTTAGCTTTTTAAGAGGTCGTTAGATAGATACCCAAAACTTCTGCTCTGTTAAGAGATCCAGGGTATATTTAAGTGCAAACCTTTCGACATGAAATTGATTTTGTCTTTTATTAACACACAATCAAAACTTGTTTTAACTGAGAAGTCGGCGCTATTTTCACCTTCTCCTGAAATTTATTTTTAGGTCAAACTTGTTGGGATCAGCAATTACGACATTGTCGATGGAAAGAGCACGACCATTCTTGGACTGATATGGAGTATTATTCTACGATTCCAGGTATGTAACCCATAATCCTTTAACTCCTAGAAGTGATTAACGTGTAATTTATCCTTGTAATATCTATGTTATTCAGCAAACAGGTAATGAGAATACTCAAACTTATCAGGTAGAAGGTGTTATATTGATCTGAAAATAAATTCTTGTAACTAATTTAGAAGGAAATGTGTAGGAGGGGAGAATTAACAATCCGATCTTGGGAGCTGAAGGGTTAATCGCAGACGAGTGAAAGTTTGAGTCTTTCACTATCTATAAATTGCTAGACCCTAAAAAGTTTCCAAACCCATCCGTTGTAGTAGATTTTAGTTATTATCGTACTGAATTCGTCTTTTCAATCTATGCTGTAAGCTACGGTTTCTCATTTTCCCCTTTTGACTTATAACCGAAGTGTTACCAGTGACTTTGCAAAAACTTTGCAAAAAACTGAAAAAATTAAGTTCAGGCCAACTGTAACTCGATGTCACAAATAGAGACCTACTTGAAGATTTCTAAACAACCAAACGTTGATGTGGATTTTGTTTTCTTTACTATATCTCAACGTCCCCTTAGGTGCAAGGCGTAATGACTGGAGATGATTCTGGAGATTCCAGCGTCAAAGATTTTCAAGTCGAGAAAAAACTGCTTTCTTGGTGTAAGACATCGCTTGAAGGGTGAGGCCCAAAATGATGTGCATTTGATAACCCAAGGTGAAAGGTCAAAAGCGAAGGTCAAGAACAAACGGATGTAATCAGAGCAAATAAAATGTCACAAAGTGACTAACGGGAGGAAAATGTAGCCGTTTGTATTATCACCAACCGAGACTAACTTCCAACAGGCGCACCCGTTAAATTTTGTCAGTTATAAACTACATTTGCTCCTGAATTTTCTTATTTCGATAGTTAAAATATCTGGGTATTCCTTTTATTCTACTTTCTTTTTCTGAGGTAGAGTATCATCTCGTATCATCTTTACTGCTGATGAATTTTGATTTCTAAAAATTCCCGTTAGGTACGAGGATTCTGTTAAATTGAAAGACTTCACAACAAGTTGGAGAGATGGTCTAGCTTTCAACGCCATCATCCATACTCACAAGTAAGTAATCCGTGTCATTTCTCTGTGGTTACTTTTTTAAGTTATTTAATAACTCTCCGTAAGCCGTGAGAGGTTTGTTGAATTAGCAATTGCGGCACAGATTAGAGAAGTACTTCTGGTGTCGTCTCCTGATTTTTTGATCGAGAGGAAGGATAATTATGTATTTACAGTAATGTAATTGAAGAAATGAGGTTTTGATATGTATAAAAGTTTCTGAAAAGGCTGAGAGGTTAATCACCGTGTGAAGGGAAGTAAGAGTCGAGGATACAGTTTAATCGAGACCGCCATCTTGATTTCAATGGCAAGCGAAGCCTGGATACAGTAGCCTGGATACAGCATTCGGCTCCTAACCCCACCCCACTAATTTACTATCAAAGACCACTATTACCCCTCCACACGGAGTTGCCTTTCTTTGCATTTTGCTTCCTTCCTATATTATCACCAAACAGTCAGAAAAAATTGAAATTAGAAAGCGGAAAGTCTAATATAAACGATTTCCTTGATTCTGCGCCATAACATGTATTCCTTCTAGCCAGAAAGCCCCTCAGTAATTAAAGCAGTCCAATCCCTTGTGACAACTCTAAGAATGTTTGTATAGCTCTGTTTCTTATACTCCTTTCTCCTTATTTTTCCTTGATTTTTTTTTTTTCCAGGCCAGAGCTGTTTCGATTTGAGAGCCTTTTAAAAAATGATAACAAGACAAATCTTGATCACGCGTTTAACGTGGCGAACGAAGAGTTTTCAGTTCCGAAGCTGTTGGACCCAGCAGGTGAGTTGATGTTAGTTTAAAAGTCTCCCTGTTTTTTTGTTTTGGCCCAATTTCAATTTCACAGATTTTTAATCAAAGACTAAGTTGTAAATTTTACTGTCCTCACTTGGCCCCGTTCTTGTTCGCATGAAGCACATTTTAAGCCTCCTTTGGTTGTCAGCCGTTTTTCAATTTTGAAACTCTTACACTCTTCATTTAAATAAGATGTACATTTTCGTCAAAGTATGCTGGCAATAACCATATCATAGCATTTCGATTTGGAATTGAAGAACAACTACACTTATGTACGACAGCTCTTCCCTTCACTTTATATGTCAGCGTGTGATGTGCGTCTCAATTTTCAGCAAGACATTTTAAGTGTACAATTAGAGAGCTTTTCTCACTTGATGTAGTAAAAATATCTAATGAGTTAAAAAAAAAACAAAGAAACCTACTTTTTCTCCGTCAGAGGCAGAACTTCTGTGCTTTTTCAAGCTTCTTTCGCATTCTAAAGATCTCTTCAGTTGGACTGATTTGATTTTTTTTCCACTGAATACTTAATGAATTTGTGTTAAGGTGCGGCTATCTTTCCGAAATTATTTGAAATGCTGGTTTCCTGTTTAAGCCTTAATCATCAGCGCGGGTGCATCAGGAAAAAAAATTAAGCGAAGTTTTTGTCAAATACTAAACAAATCCATTGCACCACTCTTGAAGAAGAAAAAATATATATTAGCAAAACTGACCATGTATGTTAACATTGAAGAAAGACTATTTTATTAGATTTTTCTTATTTCTTATTAAAAGAAATTGCTAATTAGAAAAATATAAAGATTTTTCTCCAGCACCTTTTTAATTTACAAGCAAACACTGTCATCACTTGAGAGGCAGAGAACAACTTCTTTTAAATTCACATTGTGACATTTCCTCAAAAAATGTCATATATAACAAACTTTTAATTGAAACACCTATTTCAGTGTGCGGAAAATAACGAAGAAAGTTAATTAATAAAATCTTGGCACTTGCGAATATTTAAAACACAGTTTTACTTTCCATAGTTTCAGGTTTTCAATGCTAAGTTAATTTAGGGGATTTCTACAGCGTAGTGAATATGTTGTCAGTTCAGTTTACTTATTGAAAGCTTCATTTTTAACCCACTGCGAAAACAGAAAAATGGAAAGAATTTTTTGCAATTTTCTTGAAATATTTCGTTCATATCATAAGTCGAGTCCATCGAAAATAACTCGTTTTAAGATGGAAGTTCCGATATTTTGATTAACTAAAACCAACAAATGGAAATGTCGAAAACTAACTGTCATTCTCGTATAATAAAACGTAGACTAGTTTGGATTTTTCAAGCTTCCCCTGTGAACCAGCCCTTCATTTTTTTTAATTATCTTTCGGAGCACAGTTGTTATCTCCTCGTGATTTTGAGAAGCAATGTAAACTGAGATCTGAGGGCGTCATTGTGTAATGGTGGAAACACGTGTTTTTCGATTTTGTCGCCATATTTCGAAAGTAATACTCAGTTAAGTAGCCTGGAATCCATTCAAAGCTCTACCTGTATGTTGCCGTAGCTTTCCTCAGATCTCCTTTTTTTGCATTGTTATAAAACATGCCATTCAAGTGGTCCACGACATTACGGTCAATTACACAGAGACACAAACAATTTGTTTGGTTCTACTGTGGAACATGGGATGCGAAGAACCCAAATATGCTAAGTAACTTCACTCTTTCGTATGGTTTCGAATTTATAGCCAGTATGTGATTTGCCGGTTTTTCGAATTGTTAGTTATTCGTTAAATTCTATTTTTATTTCCGTACAGATATTGACGTGGACAAGCCAGATAAAAAGTTGATCATGATGTACTTGACCAGCTTATTTCACGGCTTGAGAGAATACTCACCACAGGGAGGAAAGAAGAGAAGAAAACTTGACGTAAGTGTTGCTATTTTATTGTCGTAGTTGACTATCATTAGCTCGCCGTGACTTTCCTAGAAATTATGAAAGGCCTGTCATTCTTTTTACTTTTTTTAATTATTTTTTATCATATTTCAAATACAAGTTACAGGCATAATTAAAATGACGTCACAGAAACAAGTAACAATTGCTGTTGTGAGCAACAGTTTTTGGTGACAATGCTCACGAAGGCTCGCCATTCGATCGAAAGGCTTTTTTATACGAAGCAGAAATATAAATCTTGTCGTAAATTAGATACGAAAAGCCTTTTTTCTGATACGGTAATGTATTGTATTGTAAAAAAGACTTGAAACGCATTTCCATTGAGCTTAGTTAAGCGAAAAAAAAGAGTGAACAAATTAGAAGTCAAAAAGAAAAAGGTACTGACCAATCAGAACAAAAATATAAATCAGAGGGAGCAGGGATGACCGAAATAAAATCTTCCAACTTGCCTCGAACGAGAGAAAGTGCAAGCGACAAAAAGGGTGACTGGTTTTGATTACGAGCGTTTTCCCGCGATCTAGGCGGTTGGCTTGTTTTTTCTTTGAGTTTTCATTGGCTTTGGTTGTGATTTCACGAAACTCAAACGGAAAGCGCTTGAAATTAAAGCCGACTGGTGCAATTACGGATTTCTTTAGTTTCGTCACTCAGTTCAAAATGGCTCAGCTTTTTTTGTAGCAAACGTGTCTTCTCCTCCTTTTTTTTAGGATTTGGCGGGCCTTGAAGCTTACCGAGCATCATTGAGAGACCTGAATGCCTATATCACACAAGAAGAAACCCTGGTATCCAACAAGCTGGAATCGACTGGCCGTTTTGGCAATCCTTTAGAAGACTACAACAAATCAAAGGTAACCATGGACAACCAAGAAAAACAAAATCCTGCAGGCTGAAGGCTCTTGCATCAATATGCAAACCTGAAATGAATCGCTTGGTCTTTGCACTGTTGATGTATGCACATAAACGTGTTTTTTTTTTCCTTTCGCGAAGTTTTAAATTCCCTTGATTAGTCCTAGGATAGGCCTAAGCACTACTTATTTGTATGAAGGCTTCCATCTGATGGGATGATACGAAGTAAGAAATCACCCGAGCTTCTATTTTCTTCAATAACAATAGCTGGAACTAAGACAAGAAATTCACTCACCTCATTTTTTCCTTTTTCCCTGTCTTTTCCAGTCTTTGATGGATGACATCAAAAATCATCGCCAGGACGTGGGAAATGTAGAGGATATGGGCCAGGCTTTGATAATGAATGACAAGACAGACGAGATCCACCGAACAGAGATCAAGAACCAGCTACTGCTGCTCCACGATCGATGGGAAAAATTGGAAAAACTCTCACAGAGACTTCATAAACGGTAATAGAAAGCAATTTTAAATTAGGGAAAGCTGGTTTTAGTTTGTTTAAGTCATTGGTTTACACACACAGAACGAGATTTTTTTCGGAAAACCAAAAAGACGTTTGTGAAAATATTGATATTTATATGATGTATGGCTACTAAAATTGCAAAGTGCCACAAGAACTTCCTTTCGTTTACGAATAGTGCTTACAGAAATTATGAACATTTCAGCCCCTTTTTGTCTCGACGCGCAAGCCCACTTCCAACTCAAAGGGGAACACAAGAGAGCCACTTTTCCAACCAATGTGAAATGCAAAGATAGAAAAGGGAGCCTGGTGGTGTGTTTCTTGTTACCTTGCCAATTGAATTTAATTACGATCTTAATTATGCTCCTTTACTCTTTTCAGATGTCGGGGGGCTCTCGTTTCACCCCGGGAGCAACAGATTGACATCTACAACTCGTGGATACAACAAATGAGAAGTGAGATATCAAAAAGAGGAAGATCCCAAAGCCAAACAGAGATCAGAAGAGAGATTGATGAACACGAGGTTATTGAATTGCAAATCTGGATATTGAATTCCTGTATTTGAATTTCAGCTATTGAACAGTTATTGAATTCCTTAACCGATCTTAAACGAGTTGTAGATAGCCTCATTGCTCAAATGAGGCCAATGCTTAAGTTAAAATCTTTGGCCTCTCATGGCTAGCGTCCCCTGCAGACTTAGATTTATGATGTCGTCTTTCCTGCGTAGAAATCGAGCAGGAAAGATGATAAATGTTATGCTTTGTCGTGGTATCATAAAAGATTAAAAAAGCAAGAGAAAAGGACAAAACTAGGGTACCGAAGAAAAGGGCCGACATCATCAACGGACTGCATCACTGTTGCTCTGCAACGAAGCTATACCTTACAATGGGTTCATATTCAAGGTTTGTTAGTTATCGTTCGTTGTGTAGTGATAATAATGTTGGCCTTTTTTATCTGCTTGTTTGTGTAGGGATCTATGGTACGGATCGATTATAAAAAGAAGGAAGTCGATCGCGTTATCAGTGAAGTTAACGAACTCTGTCTGGAGCCTTACGTCGACGAAGAAGATCGTGAGATATTACGAGGAAAGCAGAAAGATTTAAACATCAACTGGGACACAATGACAACAGAGGCTCATCAAAAGAGCAAAGAGTAAGATGTGACTCGAAATGGTCACTGTTGGACTCAGATAGAGATGTTAACAAGAGCGTCAGACATGATAGGAAAAGAGAGCACATTGTTGACAAATGGAGCAGACTATCCCCTTTGATTTTCAAACCGACAAATGAGAGAATTACGAGCTTGCAAAAATTTGATACTGAACATAATGAAAGATTAGGCTAGAATTCAGCTTTGAACATTTACAGCAAACAATGCGTTTTGCAGTTCGTTTGTTACTTCCGCTTTGACTTATTTTGATACAATGCCATAGAACATTAAAAACAAATTGACAAGTTTTCATTCAGGCCGTTCTTCTTCTATCACGAGTCTAAAGCGCATGCGTGATTCCATATTTTTCACAAGTATGCCTGACAAAACTATTTATAAAGCATGTGAAAAGACTCTTTTCCGGATTGAATGAAAAAAATTGATAACAATAATGATAATAAAGCATATTCATGCATGAAAAGAAACGTATCCAAAATCATGGAGTTGTCGCCAAGTTTTTGCTTAAAACTGTGATTTGCATCTCTGTTTGCAGACTGAAGGACAAGTTGTCCCCGTCTTCTTCAGCAGAGGAAAACAGAGAAACGGAACTGCTTGTACCAGTTTCTCAAGACAATGTTCAGTCAACACCTTCAGAGTTTAGTACATTTGAGATACAAGTAAGCATTAATAAACTCTTCAACTGCAGTTCTTAGATACACGCGATCTTCATTACCACGTGTGATTTAAAGATAGTTCAGATTATCGATGAGTCATTTTCTGCTAAGCTTTTATTATGTGACCGTAATGCCCCGTGCGTGCAGTTTTTACTTATTTCCAAAGGTTCTTTGTGAGATGGTTGAGCTAGGCGATGGTGATAAATGAAAAACAGTAAAGATTAGATAGCCTTCAAACTTTTCAATCACTGAATTCTTCTATTATTCTATTGGAAATATCAAATTTCGAAGTTGACTTATATAAATTACTTAACGGCAAAAACCAGGATTTTATGGGTTTACCAAGAACTAGCTCTATGATAGTTGTACGGTTGACACATTTCTCAAAATTGATTTAGAAGATCGGATTTTATAGCCCCATCTTAATACACAGTGACTCTTATGTTGCAGCCAAACATTCAACATACTGTTGAATCGCAACCCAATGTTCACTATCTCATTGATTTCGAAGATGATCACGTTGATGGCGCAGATCAGATTGACAGGTTTGATCATTCGTATTATACTTCTTACTGAATAAATTATGATTTTAGGTAAAGTGCGATCACAAGCCTTAAGCCATCTCCATCGTTGCTTATCCCAATTTCCGCAGTTTGAAGCGAATGAGAGTGTTGCTATTTTTCGAAAGGGTGGTTTACTAGTTGATCGCTGGTTTTCACATCGGCATTTCATCATTCTTTCCTGACAGTTCACCGATACCCATTTATACTCTTGGCTGGAGAGAGGCATTGTGGCAGTGGCACCAAAGTGCAAAACAATGACGCGCTCAGGTCTCGAACCCAGACTCTTCGATACCGAGCACGTTAGCCTAGTCGTTGCCATCTTGTCTCCAATAATAAGGAAAAATATAACGTTAACTGTTTCTTCATCAGCCACGGCAGAGAGGCCGAGAGGGACGCTAAACTCGACACATTACGGGATAAAATGAACGCAGTTCAGTTGGTGTTGGAGAGATGCTCAGGAAAGTTGGAGAACTTGAAATCTTCTGGTGCCCCAAATGATTTGCCGGGGGTCAAGGAACAGCAAAACATGGTGAAGGTACTGGTATCGAAAGATTAAGGACCCCCTCATGACCAGTGTTTAATCAATATAACTTCATGCAAAGTCCTTTATCAAAATGTGTCATGTTATCTTTCTTGGATTACTTTGTCAACAGTTAAATTGGTTTTTTGACGTGAATTACGTCATTTCCACGCAAGATAAAACATTTCGAATGGGGAATTACTGCAAGACCAATTAACCTCATTTGTGCATATTCAGCTACAGAGAGTCTCTAAGAGACGTGAAATACAGACTAGGACAGATCAAAGAACAAAGAAGTGAAAAAAGGCCAAGTGCTTCAGATGGACTTGATAAAATTATACGTCTGCAAAACGTACAAAATTGACTTTTCAATTTGTAGGGGCTTAAAGTAATTGCTAGGCATAACAGCATTTTCTATTTGGAAACGTTCAGCAATGGTTTTGTAATTCATGAGTGAATGCTCAGTTCATTGTGAGTTTCTCGTTACTTGCATGTTTTATTCCTAGTTTATTCCCATGATTTAAAAAAAGAAAGAACAAGTGAGTGAATATAAAGGAATTCGCTCTTAATCAAACTTTTGCGTATTTCCGTCGTAGGATTGTGATTCTGAACTAAAGGAAGGGGAGCCACTCTTGCAAGATGTCATTTTGTACGGAAGAGAGCTCTCACGAGACGATCTGTTTGATGATAACGAGAAGGAGGAGATCTCACGTAACATGGCTCAACTACAAGAGCACTACGATGAACTGAGAAACTTTATTGACGACGAACAAGAGGGGTTTGTGTTTTTACACTTTTGCTTTTTATTTAACGTAGAACTCAGATTTAAAACACCTCCATGTTAGAAGGACCTCCTAGGTTCGGATGCCTCACATGGCATACTTGGATTTATTTCTAAGTAGTTTGTCCTCAACTTGGCCCAAAATCTGGTGAATGTCGTCTAAATGAACGTCTTCCTGCTGGAATTTTGAACAGCATCTGTCCCAGCCTTAACCCTAACCATTCCAGTTTATTGTGTATCAACGAGAATAGATTAAATGAATATAAAGCAAGTTTTGAATAACGTTGTCTTAGTTCTCTAATTATTTTTCGTTGCATTTTTTTTGCCTCGATGATTTTTTAAGAAACTGAAAAAGTGAGGCAAAAAAGGAGGTAGTTTCCAATGGGCACCATAATTACTATTTCTTTTCTAGTCTCAGTGAGCTGCGTAATGAATTGGAGAAACGAAACAAGATCCGCGACTGGGAAAGAAAACGCGATGAATTAAATGAGAAGCTATCCCGCTGTGAGGATAAGTTACGCCTTCAAATTCAGGATCAGTTAAGAGAAGAACTCGCACCCAGTGAAGAAATCTTGGCTGCAGCAAAGGTAGATATAAATATATATTTTTTCAATGAGATTAGACCGTGTATCAGCCACAGTTAACGGTAATTCGATACTTCGTTGCTCTCTGGCTTTCTCGCAGAATTTATCGAAGGAAATCTCCGATCTTGATCCTGAAGTAGCAAGAGTTACAGACGATGGAATTAAACTCGTAAAAAGTGAGAACATTGGGGGTGACTTGGAAGAAAAATTGGTCCAAGACATAAACGATATCGAAGAAAGATACGAGAAACTTAAAAAGAGCAGCAGTGACGTAAAAAGGTACTGTGTTTGACATATTAACAAATCTGTGCATGTCTATCCTTCTCACAGGAAACTGTTGATGCTACATCATTGTCACGATTGAATGTCAAGAATTAGTGTCACCGTTGGAAGAATTTCGACAAATTGGGAAGGATTTTAAAGCTGAAAACGGGCTTGTTGTCAAACTTGTGCGAATACTTTTTTATGGCTGGGATAAAATTTAATATTTTATAGAGTGTAACTCCTCTTTTAACCAAGTCTTTGGGATATTTTCCACATAGTTAAGGGATAAATACTGGAGGTTTTTAACTGATTTATTTAATTATATATATATATATATATATATAATCTACTTTTTCTCAACAAGCTTTCGAATTTTTATCGCAGACTGGAGGACGCAATTTCTCAGAGAGAATCTGAAAAGAGGGAGAAGCTTGAAAAATGGCAGGAGGTTACTGAAAGAATATCAGTGATTAATGTTGATACCCGTACAAAATTACGAAACATCAAGGAAAAGAATCCCCACACCACCCCTGAAATACAGGAACAGCTCGAGGCGATACAGGTAAAAATTTTCATTGCACAATAATTGAAAAAAAGAAACGTTGTAGCATTCTCATTTTCCTACTTTGTTTTAATTTTTTTGTCCATTTTGTCCGTTGGATTCTTTTATTTAGTTATTTTTTCCTTTTTTTCTTTCTGTATTTCGCTGGTCTTGGTACACCTTATTCGTTAAGGATCACTGTTGAGGTCGTTCTTTCCTTGCTCGTCTCCTTGCGAACTAGCTTACGCTCGCTATCTTTTGCCACTATCACTCGATCGATCGATGGAATAGGTCAGCCTTTTTATGGTTCTTTTTTATTGAAGTCGTCGGTCCAAAGCTCGCATCTTTGAAGCCAGATTGCGAGTTTTGGATAAATACAAGATATCTATCAGCAATTTGTGCTTCTATTCTCCTCAGAAATGTACAAACGACGTTATGTCTGCGTTTCCTGAAATTCAATCTGGTTATGATTACGGCAACGATCTCTTGGCTGATAATCAACTTAGTGATGAGGATAGAGACAAGATCGAGAAGGAAATGAACAACATTGGAGAGGATTTCAAAGCTCTTCAGCAAGACATAAATGCCGAACAAGACAGGTCAGCCATATCATTTCTTACCTCAGTTTTTCGCTTTGGGTCGCCCACCGCAATTTCTTTCGTTCATTATTCGCTATTTCGTGCGTATGTTTCTTCATCGGTTCGTTTGTTCCTTAATTTATTTGCCCCGTAGCCTGTTCGTTTGTCCATGCTTGCGTTTGCTTGAACATTCGCTGCTTTTGTTAAGTCTTCGTTCGTTTTCTCGTTCATTCGTTCTTTCATTCACTCGTCAATCGCTCGTAGTTTTAATCATTCTTTTGTTCGTTCTCTCGCTCTTCTGTTCGTCCTTTGTTCGTTCGCTCGCGTGTTCGTCCCTTGTTCCTTAATCGTTGCCTTTTTACAGGCTGAATAACTTGTTGTCAGAAAAGGTAGCTGAGGATGCTCGAGCTCAAGATAAATTGAAAAAGTGGCAAGATGGTAAAGACAAGTTAAACTCCAAATATAAGAAGACCAGGGGCAAGTTCAACAAAGTCAAAGGTCAAGGAATTCCCAAAGACCCGAAGAAAGTGCAAGAACAACTAGAACTTACCCGGGTGAGATGAGTGACATGAATGTCACTGTTTCCTGCTTTGTGTCAATGGATTCTCTTGCAATGCACGATGTGATTTTTGAAGCATTTTTCTTTAGAAAGTAATTAGAATCCATATTTCTTTTCCCTCAGGAATGCTCGTCCGAGATCGCTGATTCAGTGCCAGAGATCCAGCAGGCGTTTAAGTGCGCCGAAGATCTGATCAGTGAGAAAAGTGTTGACCCTAGAGATAGAGAGTCAATAAAGAAAGAAAGAAATGAAATTGGGGAAGGATTTAAGAGCCTGAAGCTTGAACTGAATGACTACGAGAAGGAGTAAGTTTGATTAGGCTAAATTAATTACTTTTAATTCTTGATTGGAGTCATAAAACACATTGGCCTTACTCCGACGAAGGCAATTAAAGGAGCTCTTCTAGTTCCTCAGAATTTATGAACTCGTCTAATCTGGCTTCTTCAAACAGCCAAGGGAACTGCCACGGTTGTTTTTTCTGGCGTTGGAAGGCGGCTTTGAAGATTTCTTTGGCTCACTTGTAGTGATTTTACTCCGGCGGTTTTCTCCACAGATTAGAAGACTTAGGCCTTCAACAAGATAAAGAGAAATCGGAGAAGATTACAACATGGCAAACATGGATCATTCGAATGAGGAAGTTGCAGGATAAGTGTCAAGCGAAGACAAATGAACTCAAGGAAGCAAATGAGCCACAAAATAAGAAAGAAGTCGAAGAACAAATGGTCCTTGTGAAGGTCAGAACTAGTTTCTTAGCTTGAGTTAATTGGATTGTGCACTGGGAATTTGAACTTCGCTTTCTATCTATAGCTGCAGTACATTTATTGAAATCTTTACAGTTCCTTTTACTGCTTCGGGACTTGTGAAGTAAAAGGGTGGTTGTAAATGTTTGCATCAAATATGAATGATTTGAGAAATAACAAACTGGTCGGAACAAACACAAGTAACATACCAGGCTGCATATAGTTAAATGCAATCCACAATTAGGCACAAAACCCAACCATGTTTCCCTAATATTTCGGTGGTAGGATTGCAATGGAAGTGTAATGCGATCACACGTGTGGTGCATCGTTCAGGTTTACGAAACGTCAGTCATCGATACATGGTCACAAAGTTTTCGTCAAAGACAGCCCTTGTAAGGCAAACTTTTGCGAAAGTTTTGCATATCATATTTTTTTGGTACTTAAATGTAGGAGTGTAAGGAGGAGCTGGAGGCCGCTAAACCGGTGATTCACGAAGGTATTGACTACGGGAAGCTCTTGATAGATGATGAAATACTTGATGATGAGGTTAAGGCTTCAATCAAGAAGGACGTGAACGATATGGAATATAATCTGGACAAAATGGAGAAAGACAACGCTGACGAACAGGGCAGGTAACAAACGGTTAAGAAAATCTAGATTAAGGCTTTTGTAAACGTGTGGAATATCATTAGTTTTATCTGTGGTCCATATTTTCTCTTCATTTATATCGAACACGATTCTATTTCGGTAACTACTTGAAAAAATGATTAGCTTTGAAAATATAATGGATTTGTATCTTTGCCTGGTAAAATGTCTTAGATAAGATGACCCACACACACAAACTGAGCATTGTCCTTTAAAAGAGAGAAATTAATAAAAAAAATCGAACTCCATCGGTCTTTGTAAACCGAGTGGCTGTTGCATTTTTTTCATAAAATACTTAATTTACTAACAATTGAAGTAATCTAGATGTCTGCATATTTGCCTATGTCTTACTTGATAACTACGTAGGTTGGAAATTCTAGCCATCCAGTTCGACACCGATAAAAAGGACAAATTAGTAAAATGGGAAACTTGGAAGGTGAAATTGAGATCAATTCTTGCTTTGAAACGAAACCACCTTGACGAGGTCAAGGCCGACGATCCCACGAACCGGAACGTGGAGGAATTATTAGCGAAAGCAAAGGTAGGCTTTTGAAGCAATTTTCAGGCGAGTTTCGCAGGTAATCTGGGATTGTGTTGGTTTTACCTCTCAACACTCGGTGATTGGTCGAGAAAGCTCGCGCCACCCGCTTCACCAATCAGGAACAAAACCGAAACCAATCGCGAATTGGTCGCGCCCGTTTTGCCGCGCTTCGGAGATCCGGAGTTAGCATTTTTAATCTCTCAATGCCTCCTTGTGACACTTGCTTTTCCTCTTCTCGGCTGTTGTGATTACTGAGATTGCTTTGGTTTATGTTTTGCGAGGTTCAGTTGAAAAACAAAAGGACAAGAAGATAATAAACGATATACCAAAGTACACACAGAGTCAAAAAATTTATTTAACCAGAATGACGATTTCGAACCTCTGCTTTTACATTTGCTGACCTCTCTCCTTGACTTAAAACTTTTAAACACCATGTGATTATCAGGTCTGATTTTCTTTGTGACCATTAGGATTGCGAGGATAGCCTGACCAATACAGAACCGGAGATCAAGTTTGCTTTAGATTATGGTGAGCAACTCGTGGATGACGATCTGACTGATCCTGATGAAAAGCAAAAGATCCATGATGATGTGGTAGAAATGGAACGAACTCTGAAAGACCTGAAGGAAGATACCGCTAAAGAGAAACTAAGGTATTTTGTCTAAGACTTGTCAGGATTGTATTCTGACTTTTTGATTCTGCTAGTTCACATACATTACTGTATGGCCTTCAGGTCCGTACATGTGTACTTGTTTGGTTGATCGATCGATTGATTGATAAAAGGTAGTAAATTCATTTAGCATAATTTACAAGAAGAGCATCTAATTGTACTCAGCTAATCTAGCTAATGAAATAAGACAAAGCCTGTCCTTTCCTGAGACTGCTTTTCAAGGATGCTGTGTATGCAAAGTCTAAAAATGTAATATATAACGGACTAAGCACCTAAAATGCACAACACCTAACTTCTCTTTAACTGGTAATATTGTTACCAGGTTGCAGCAAATATATTTCCAACAAAACGAAGAAAAGGAGAAAAAACTGAAACAGTGGGAGATATGGGTTATTCGTATAAACAAACTACAGGGCGAATGTCAGGAAAAAGTGAAAGATTTGAAGTCTAAAGGAGATCCTCATGATAAGAAGGACTTGGAAGAGCAGATTGTTTTAGCTAAGGTGAGTTTTTTTTTGTCTGTTAGCGAAAACCTGTACGTTCTATCGGTTTACCAGCGTACTGACTCACCTGGCATGTAAGGAGAACACGAGAAAAGTTTGCTTAAAGAATTTATCGGGAGATCAAGTTCATTTAGAAAAATGTATTTTGAGACTTGTATGCGTCTTTTTCAGTAAGGTGTATTCAACTTTTGTAGGAATTCGAGGAGGAGTTGCAATCAGCCAAACTGGTGATCAATGAAGGTACTGCATATGGGTCGCTGCTTCTAAATGATGATATCGTTGACGAAGAGAACAAGGCAAAAGTCAAACAGGACCTGGATCACATCGAAGAGGATCTAAAAGAATTAGAAAAGGCTAATGGCGATGAGCAGAAAAGGTAAAAATCTATAACAATTTCAGGCGACTTTGCAAAACCTAATTATACGACAACGAAAAGGATTTGAGATATTTGGGGTCGAAATTTTCAACTATAATAAATACAGTGTAGCAAGTCGTCTTCTACATAAAGGCCTGGTGCGATAATGTATGGCACTTTAATTATTCGACCGTATTTTCGGTGGAGGCAGCTCAACAAGCGGTTTAGAGCCCCGTGTTTCAGATCTTGATTCCCGGGTTCAAACCTTCCATGATATATAATACAGTGGGCTGTTTTTCGGTATTCATGAGTTTTCATCACAGAGATTCACTTTGTAAAAGGTAAGTGATTTTCCTCACACCGTTGACGTCCTTTTTTATCAATTAACGTTCTATGTACTCTATTTGTTTGTGCAGGGTCCGCTATCAGATCGTATGAGCTTAATATCGTGTCACATATATTACTTATGGAGTCTCACTGATGTCCTTTCAGGCTTGAAGATATTCTTTATCAGAAAGGTGAAGAGCAAAAAGTCACAGAGTGGAAGAACCGGACCACACGCATCCACATTTTGATAAAGGATTGTGGTGACAAAATGGCTGAACTACAAGCTAAGGGGAATCCGAAGGACCGCGGGGATGCCGAAGAGCAAATCACTTTGTCAAAGGTACTGAGGATTTGCCTTAAGTTTTTCTTTGTTGAGAGAAAATGTTTGGTTCTTATTTCAGCTTATTATTGCAGAGGTCTAAATTTTTTCCTAACCTTTTGTATGAATTTTTTTTTCATCTCATTCTATTTAATTACAGGAATGCAGTCACAAAATACAGGCATCAAAACCCGAGATAAATGCCGGTCTGGCATTTGGAAAAGAACTATTGGAGGATGATTACATTAGTGACGTAAACAAGGCTAACATCAAGCAAGACTTAAATGAGCTAGGAGGAGACATGGAGAGACTGGAGCGAGCCAACGATGAACAAGAACGCAGGTAAATTATCCTTTAGTCTCAAATTAAACCTGAATGTAAAAGCCTTTCCCAGGTCCGAAGTACATGTATTCGTTTACAAAGCAAAGGAAGTGTTTTAAATATGTCTCAAGTACCTTTAAATACACTTAAACGCTAAACTGTAGTTTATGCAAACGGCCCTTGAAACGGCCCTTGGCCCGGCAAAGGAAGTGTTTTAAATATGTCTCACGTACCTTTAAACACACTTAAACGCTAAACAATAGTTTATGCAAACGGCCCTTGAAGATGAAGGATTTCCAGCGGAAATCTAACCCCTTTCGCCGTTTCGCACTCTCTTGTGAGTGTCGATAACATTTTAAAGACTTTAATAAACGCCTACCGCACCAGTTATCCTTTTTTCCACATTCTTTATTGTTTCAAGGTTACGTAAGGGATCCTCGACAATCATCGTTCGAGAAGGGTGAAAAACGTTGTATGGAACGGTTTTTTAAGTGCCCAAAAGAACGGTCACGAAACCAAACTAAAGTTTTTACTTTTGTTTTCTGATCTTTTCTTGCAGGATTCGAGAGCGCTTAGACGCATTACAGAAAGAGGAAGCGGTGATAAAAGATTGGCGTGATAGATGTGCCAGCTTGACATCTTATATGGATTCTGCTGATGAAAAAATTCAGAATGGGAAGAACGCAGAGAGCAATGAGGACATTGAAAGCTCTTACATCCTGCTCAAGGTAATCAATGGGAAATTTCACAGACTTGTAGGTATATGTAAGAACTAGTAAGTAATTCATTGCTTTGAGTTGTATACCATGGAATATTCCACTAGTCACCGAGTCATTAGATCGCACTTCATGATAGGAAGGTTTGTGTAATAGTGTCGATTAGAAAACAGTTCTCAAAGACCCCATTGTCAAGTGTTGTCTGTATTTGATGCTGTTCTCTCGTGGTATGTTTTACTTATTTTCTTATTAATTTTGTTGAATGTTCTTTCGTAGGATCTCTCAGCAGATCTTGTGCAAACTGAACCGGAAATGATAAAGACTTTAGACTTCGGAAGAGAGTTAGCATCAAATAAAAATTTGAGCTCTGATAGCCGTCAAAAAGTGACTGACGATGTGAGTGATGTGGAAAAAAGATGGAAGACTCTTATGAAAGAGTCTCAAGATGAATACGCTAGGTAATGTTGTTGGCTTGATATGCATTGCCATTGTGGGTAATATAAATAAAGTAAAATGAGCGAAAAGGAGAAGAATAAATTGAAAGGCAAGAAAGGATGGATAGTAACATTTTTCTCGAGGGTGGAATAGTGTGTCACAAGCTAATCTCGTGAGAATTCGGATGGCGACGTCTTATTATAAAAACCGGACTACAAGTTGCTCTAAAGCTTACAAGGTGAGAGAATCTTGTGACCAAGTATTGATTGACCATAAACATTTACACAGATGCAAGAACGTGTTCATTACTAGAGCCGGTGCTTTTTTTATACAAAATATTTGAAAAGGATACTCGATTCATGACTAAACGTCTGCTTGTGCTTGTTTCGAAGCGAAAATCAGTGCGACACTGTATCAAATAAAACCATCACCTCTGGCGAGATTGAATAAGAGATACAGTTCAATGGCCATGTTCCATTCTTTCTTTTTTTGCTATTTTAGGCTTGGTGTTGAACTAGGAGCTTCACAAGCTCGACAAAGAAACTTGGAGACCTGGCACGAGCGATGCGATGATCTTCATGGTTGGGTGACCGACAGATATACAAGGCTACGTTCCCGACCGACTTCTCCTGAAGCATCTTTTGGGGGAATAAAAAGACAACAGAGTGTTATTGAGGTAAAAATTTCTCGAACGTAGCGTCTCATTTTTCCAGATCTTATGTCGGTTTTTGAAGATGAACCGACAAAAAATATTTCTACCCCTCCTGAAAATGATTGTTTCATCTCAAGCAACCTTCCACCCTCAGCACTTTAGAAGATCCCCCCTCCTCCAATTTTTAGGCACTGGTTATACTCCTGTGTGCAGGCTAAGTTTGTAAGAACCATGTGTACTATCACCTTGGATACGACTCAAGCCCCAATTAGGGCCTGAACGCTAACATCTGGATTACTTATTCCCAACGATAAGGCTACTGTAATGCTAAAAGCCCCCCCCTTAACTTGCTTGTTAGGCACCTACTGTTTCACCCAATTTAGGGAGGCTTTTTCCGTTAAGCTGACCTTAATTTGGTGTTATCGACTGTGCGTTTTCAGGATCTCGTCAAGGACTTGACTTCCAAACAAGGTGAAGTAAACGAAGTTATTGACGAAGGAAATCAAGTCATCGACGATCATACTTATGCAGAAAAAGAAAGGAAACTTGTTCATGAGAAGATGACCGCACTTCACGATGACTGGAATAAACTAGCCACGTTGACTTCCGGTAAACAGCAAAGGTAAGTGTTGAGATTTGTAAGGATCAGATATCTGTTATTGAGTGATCAGTAAGATTTCGATTTATTTATTGCTCTTCATCAAATTCAGTGTTTTATAAAAGCCCATAAGGATTGGTGAAAAAGTTTGCTTTACATCCCAGTTCATCAATCGCACTTTACCACCGACATAAATACGAGATGGCTTCCGGAAACAACCACTTGTTTTCGTTATCAACTAATCATTCCCACCTTTTTATACCTTCTCTTGACTTTGATATAACTGGATATAATTTTTTTATTTCCGCTTTTCAGTGTCCAAGTCTTACTTCTTGAGAAGGAACAACAGCACCTTGACAAGACGCAGAACTGGAGAAGAAGAATTGATCCTCTTGTGTTTTGGGTTTCTTCAGCCGAGGATAAGCTGAACACACAATTTGCAATTGCCCCAGATCTAGACACCGTCAAGAAACAGAAGGCTGAACTTGAGGTGCATAGAAATAATCACTGCGGCGGATTTTTAGAATGCTTGGGATTAAAAATTCTGCGGTAAAACACCGCTTTCGAGGCTCAAAGCGCCTCAGTGTTTTAAAAGCTTTCACATTTGAGCGGAGACCAAGTTGAAAAGCACTTGAAACACCGTGTCGAAGGGATAACAATGTTCTGATTTCCTAATTTTTTCCTCATCTCGTTTTTTCTCGTTTTGACATCTTGTATTTTCTAGGATTTCAATAATGAAATGCTTTCTCACCAACGTGAAGTGAGTGAAACTTTGGAATATGGAGACAAACTACTGAAAGACCCAGAGCTTCCTGAGGACGATCGTACGGCGATACAGAAAGAAGTGCTGGATCTTAGTCATCGCTGGGAGAACCTGGAGGAGTTAGTCAACTGGAAATCCGAGAGGTAAAAAAGCATAGCATGGGTTCTTTTTTTTTTTTTTTTTTTTTTCTGTGCCGGCGTGATCTACCTGTTCAAGGAACTCATTTTGAACGGAGAGAAGAAGCCAGGCGGGTGAGGCTCTCCTTCCCCCGTCCCCTCCCTCCCCCCCCCCCCCCAAAAAAAAAAAGACGAAAATAAATTTAAAAATACGGAAGGATCCTTATAAGACCCGCTCTATGACTCTATTGGTCTTTTTACGAGTCTAAATCACCGGAAAGTATGCTTGGAGCAACCGGTCCAAGATAATTCTTGACTCCTCAACGTTTTATAAGACAGCTCTTCTCACTCTGCCAACCTCTTACAAACAGAATTGACGACACTATCTCAAAACTCAAGATGCAGCAAGAGGACAAGCTCCAGAAATGGCATGAGGGACTTGATGAGGTCAGTGGATGGGTAGTGAAGACAAGAGTTAAGGTTGAAGTACAACAGAGACTGGCTACCGATGTGGACGCTGCTTTGGAACAAATAGATGACTTTCAGGTTTGCTGTTGTTTTTAATCTCCTCGTTGTTGTCGTTTTGTCTCAAATATTTCCTTTCTAGGGTTCTTTCTTCACGTAAGGCTCTTATTGTCCGTCAATTTCTTTGCTGTAATCCTGTGGCCTTACGATTCTAAGATTGAGTAATTTTGCGAATGATTCTAAGAATGAGCGACTTGAAGCAACGAATGTGCTGATACTCTATGTTTTGATTTCAATTAAGGAAATCATCAAAGACGCTCCAGGTTATCAAGAAAAGGTAACTCACCTAAACGAGTTCAGTGGCAACCTCGTTACTGACCCATGTCTTGGGGAAGAAGAGAGGCGAGGTGTCCGCGAGGAAACTGTCATCTGTAATGAAAATTGGAACGATCTGGTTAATCTCGCTAATGCTAAGCAGGCCAGGTAACTGAATGTTTGTATATAATACTCTTTAGCACCTGACTTGGTGGCTCGCTTGACCCCAGGTAGAGGGTTACAATCTGGAACTTCGGAGGGTTTATTATGTTGGGAGCATATCTACATCTAAACACAGTTAGACGATATTGCACTTTAGAAGAAGATCATTTGTATGCAGCTATTTATTGACCACATGTTGAAATCTTGCATTCTTTTTTCTTCTTGTTTTAGAATGGAAGAAAACCTCAACAAATTGGAACGACAAGAACAGGACGCTTTAGAGCGATGGAGGATTCGCTCAGAAAGAGCGGGTCTTGCGTTAGATAAACTGGAGGGTCAGATATCTGTTATTGATGACCCTATAGGGAATGACATAGAGACTGTCAGGAGACAGGAGGACGCGTTTGAGGTCAGCACATTCATATTTTTACTGCAACTAACAACAGTTTTGTTGAAAAGCAACACATGACATGTTTGGTACATAAGGGTCGGCTCTTAACCATTCATTAATCATTTACCTCCACTTCTACTCACTTAAGAGATTAACCCTTCATATACATGACTTCGCTGTCCCGTGGTCTTGTTCGGTCTAGATTGCCATTGAGCAGATGTTGTCTCTGGAGATGGAGAACATCTTCAATTTGATTCAAATCGATAGGGCCTATGTTGTAAGCACTGCCCACATACGTTTTGTTCAAGTGACCAAACTGTTTTCTTCAATGTGAAAGAATTTATTTTTATCTGGTTTCATTACCCTGCAGATATTTTCCAATGAAATGGAACTGAACACAACTCAAATGCTTGACACTCTTGCCTTGGGAGAGAAAGTTAAAAAGGATCCCAAGCTTACCCAGAAAAGGAAAGATGAGGTGGTGGAACATCTCAATTCTTTGACAGCACGCTGGGACCGCATAAAGGATTTTGTTGCCTTGAGAAAAGAAAGGTATGCGACGCATACAGGTGTAGGTCCATATCTCAAGGTTATAACGACATTTTCAAATGTATCTTTACTATTTGTTCCATAATGACATGCATGGCTTACTGGTATTCCATACTAAGCTACCTGACATGGCTGGGTTGGAATTGGTAAATAGTTTGAAAATTATTCTTCTTTATCAAACTCAAGATCTTGCTAAAAATTTTATTCTTCCTTCAAAAATTGCAGTACTGATCTCCTTAATCTCTATTTCCATATGTTTTCAAAAATAACTGAAATATGGCTTCGACTAGCTATTTTTTCTACCATTTTCTCTCTATCTAAGACTTGATGAAGCTTCCAAGAGGATGCAGAGGGACAGACGGAAGAAGCTCGAGGAGTGGGAAGAAAAGGTTAATCACTTCGATAGTTTTTTACGAAAGGCAGAGAGAGAAACAGAGAGGCTAGAGCCAATAGCAGATGATCTGGAGACTGTTCAAAGACAATATGACGATTTCCAGGTACGATATCGAAAATAAAGAATCGAATGAGTTTTGTTATCAACTGAGTATTTAATAAAAAAAAAATGTAGTTTGTGCCATTGGCGTAGTTGATTGGCTGAAGAGTTGGTGAGAGAGGTCGCCAAGCTATAAACCGAGTCTGCAATCTCGGGGGTGGATATCCTGATCCAGGCATCCTTATTATCACAAAAACAAATCTACGAGCGGAAGACCCCAAAGACGCCCTCATAAAGGGAGGCAACCTCTGCACGGCTCTTGCACCCTGTGCAACTCAAAACTGTACTGATTAAGTTCGGATTTCCCTCAACAGCGTTACTGAAAAAACAAAAACAACAACACCTAGTTTCCATGTTCTTCAAACTAAAATTCTAATAAAAGTACATTCTTTTTGACGAGTTCTCGAAGCATGCCTTTTATTATGTTTAGAAAACGAACCAGCTTATTGGACAGCAGAAGAAAGTAGATGACTTCGAAACTTTCACCGTCGAATTACTAGCAGACCCTGTAATTGACGAGAGATCAAAACAGAGCATGGAGCACGATAAAGACGACCGCCTTGAAAGATGGGAAAGGGTCGTCGAAAAGATTAATGACCACCAGCATGGGTAACTGCACTGACGTTTAAACAGCATGCAAGCAAACATCGTCAGAACTCGTTTCTTGTTTTCCGAAAATTATCGCGATGTTTCGAGCGAAACTTTATGACTTATCTTTTGGACTTTTAGAGCGTCTGCGTTATGATCCAAAAAAGTTCAAACCGGTGCAACACAACATGTTTTTTCAGAAGGAAAACTGAGCGAGTATTCGAAGTTATTTGTAAATAGTCCCTATTTAAAAAGAATAGCAATAGCATCAACTGTTCAATATCAGACAGCTGAGAATAACTAAAAACTTAGTAAAATGTTTGAAAGCTTCTCTATCCTTATTTGCAGATTGGAAGAACAACTGACAAACTTGGAGAAAACTGAGGGTGAACTTTCGAGATGGAATGACCAATTTGACATAATCCAGGAGGAGGTTGCGAAAGTTGAAAGCGTCTGTGAGCAGGAAATTGCTCCAGATTTCGACGCGCTGGAGAAACAGAAGACTGAAGTTCAGGTGGGTCAAACGAGAAAACGTTGTGTGCTGTTTACGGACAAATTATTTGAGATGCTGTTCAGTTTCCACGATGTGAATGGAGCTTGCTTATTTTTGCAGAGACTGAAGAAAACTGTGAACGTACTGGATCCACAAGTTGACGACTTTCTCAAGAACTCTGACAGGTTGATCGACCAAAGTGACGTCCCCGAAAAGGATTTGGAGACTGTGGAGCATGAGGCTGAAGTCTTCAAAAAACGTTGGAATAAAGTAAAGTTCGATCTTGACGCGAGACAACAGAGGTTTGTAAGGGAAATAAAACTAGGAATGTTGTGAAATGGTCCATTTAATAGACAACTATATATGGAAGAGCTCTGTTTATTTCTTTTCCAGAATCGAAGATAAGCACCTCAGCCTACAACAACGTCAAAAAGATTTGTTAGGGCAGTGGAAGAACTCTTGTAACTCTACTCTTAAGTGGTTATCTGACACCTCTGCGCGTGTGCAAGCTCAAAATGTAACTCCTCCGGATCTCGATCATGCGCGGGCTCAAAGACAGGAAATTGAGGTCTGTGAATGCCCATCTTTTTGCTAAGTAGTGTTCACGATTTTTGTGTGCTAGGTGTTGCCTTTCGTTTGATAAAAAGATCATCTTTCTTTTTCTCCAAATCACTTTAGGACATTTTGCGAGAAATAAAACGGCACGACAATCAGATGGACAAGCTAGATCAACTTGGAGACAAGATTACTAACGACCCGAGCATGCGTGACTTGGAGAGGAACTTGGTTAACAATGAAAAAGCTACCATTATCGAACGCTATAAAGGACTTCTTGCATCAACGGAGGCTGCAAAAAATAGGTTCGTTGCTGTTAATATGTACTTGTAGTGAGAAACACTTGATATGAGGAATGTCATCGTGCTATATCCAAACAAATTCCTTCTTTCCAAATAAAGTACTTAAACTGAAAACCTAACAACAAACTCAACATTTTCCATTATTATTTGTTCTCATGAGAATCACCATAATAAAGCCACACTTTTTGAGAGGTGATTGCTTTCACTGGTGCTCATTTTTTTCCATAAAAAAGTATTCGATTAGCCCGAGGGGTAAGTCCGAGAAATATCCAATGATCTTAAAAGAAGGAGTTTCTACTTAGACCCCCTCAAGGGAGAAGATGCATTTTTTGTCATGTCCCGTAGAAATAAGCATGTTGTTGTGCTTCTGTTCTAGATTGGATGATCAAATTAAGCAAATGGAGAAAGAGCAAGGAGAAAAGATGAAGCTCTGGCCAGAAAAAACGGATCCCCTTGATAAATGGCTGATAAAGAATGAGACAACTGTTCAGTCCTACGAGCCAATCGGATACGACATCAGCTATGTAAAAACACAAGAAAAAGACGCACAGGTTGGGGCATTTTCTAATTGTTTGGTGTGAGAACAAGTTCACTAGTTAACGAAATTAAATAGAAAACATCGTTATCAATATTTTAAACAGGTTATGTTTAAAATTTAACTTCACTATAGCTCCTGTACTCTGTCCGGAAGGTAAACGATGTTTTTTCTATAGAAGAGCTTAAAAGTCTATGTTGTTCTTACAGTGGCTCAGAGAGGAAGAGATGGTGAATTAAAGGCTTTTGGGACTAGATACTGGATCTCATCGGGTCTATTTCTTTTTAATAGGCAATGATCACTGAACTTCTTCAAGAGCAGCCAAAATTCGCTGAGATGACGGACTTTGGGAATAAGCTGACAACGGAGCCTTGTGTAGGATTAGAAGAGAGGGTAAGGATTCAGAAAGACATGCAAAGTCTCCACGAGAGATGGGACGGGCTGTATGAGTCAGCCACTTCAAGACATGACAGGTACCAGCCACTTCTTTGAATCAACAGTATTGTTTTCGTAAAAATTGCATTTGTTTTTGACCTTCTAAGTAACAGTAGGAAGACCTAAGGCTTCAGTAATATTTGAAACCTTAAAAATATGATTTACAGAATCCTACAGAAACTACAGAAGCTACAAAAAATTTCTACTTAGGGGAAACGGTCCCTGGGTAAATAATACCATAAACTCTCGCATGAGAAAATTCTAAGCAAACTTACCTTGTATGTGAGTTGATAACGGAAATTGGCCACCGTGAAAGGTTTCTGAGCAGATGTTTCGAGTTAGCCGAAGATGAAGGGCTAACGCTTCAGCTTCCACTGACGCAGTACAACTGTTTCTTTTGAAACTTACCCCCTTCATTCATCTGCTTGTATGTGACTGACTTCCTATGTCTAAAATCATGTTAAGGTGGTAAACATAGTGTTTGGTTTCAGTCTTTGAATTATTGAAATTCTTGGAAGTTTGAAATATATCCTCTTCTAGAAAAGTGTTCTCACAGTTGTATTTGACGTTCTTAGGATCCAAGACAGGCTAAAAATATTAGAAGACGAACAAAAACGACTGGCAGATGAAAGAAAAATGCTGGAAGAGGAAGAAGTACAGAGGCAAATCGACATGGAAAGGAGGCGAAAGGAAGAGGAAGAGAGAAGAAAGAAAGAGGCAGAGGAGAGAAGGAGAAGGGAAGAGGAGGCAAGGAAACGCAAAGAAGAAGAAGAACGGAAACGGAGGGAAGAAGAGGAAAGGATAAGAAAAGAGGAAGAAGACAAACGGAAACGAAAGGAGGAAGAAGAGAAAAGGAGACGAGAGGAAGAAGCGAGGCAGAGGAGAGAAGAGGAGGAGAGAGAAAGACGAGAAGAAGAACAAAAGAGGAAGCTGGAACAGGAGGAGAGAAAAAGAAAAGAAGAAGAAGACCGGAAGAAAAGAGAAGAAGAAAGAAAACAGAGAGAAGAAGAGGAACGGATGAAGAGAGAAGAAGAGAATAGAAAGCGGAAGGAGGAACAAGAAAGACGGAGGAAAGAGCAAGAGGAGCGCAGGAAAAAAGAGGAGGAGGAGAGAAAGAAAAGGGAGGAAGAGAGAAGGAAAAAACGTGAGGAAGAAGAGAAAAAGAAGAAAGAAAGAGAGGAAAAAAAGCGACTGGAGGAAGAAGAAAAGAAAAGGAAGGAGGAAGAAAAACAAAAGGTTGGTCGTTTTACGCCCGTTTTGTTCTTTCTACTTGTATTACTCGCCAAGTGTTTCTATTTTTTTGTAGAACCTGAACTGGCCTGCGCCTGTTTAGGAAATTGTCATAAAAGGGTCAAAGACTATTTTTGAAGTTTCAGCTATTTGCATCGGAGATGACTCGAAAACAACTTACATTTGCGCTAGAGCAACACAACGCATCCTCTTACTATTGATATGTCACTATTGATGAGAATTACTCACCGTTTGTTTGTCATGTTTAAGACACAGTTCTGTCCAATTTATTTCTTAACGATCGTCTATCAAAACACCTTTTATATAGTAACTCTTTCCCGTGTAGAAAAAAGGCTTCCTCATAAACTTTGGATCTTTACCTCACATCCCGATGGTGAAACAGGAAACTACACTAAATGCCAGCCCAAAGATGGACGAGGTTGTGTCAGTCCCAGAAGCTGAAGGAGACAATATCAACAGGAAAAAGGTCACAACAGCACAGCGCACGTTTGCACGAATGATCTATCATTATGGATGAAAAACACCAAAAACTTTCTTCTAATGTTTCGGATACGTCCTAGTTCTATCGATTCTACTATTATATAGTTTTCTTATTAGTATGTTATATTCAAGCACCTTTTTCCTGACTAATATTGTTTATTTTTCTTTCTCTCTCGTAGAATAAAGGGTTCGGGTTTAGCCTCGGGCCGTTACCTCACCTTCCAAAGATGGAAGAGGTTGCGTCAGTCCCAGAAGCTGAAGAAGACAATATCAACAGGAAAAAGGTCACAACAGCACAGCGCACCTTTGCACGAATGATCTATCATTATGGATGAAAAACACCAAACGTTTTATTCTAATGTTTCGGATATGTCCTAGCTATATCGACTTTACTTTAATATGGTGCACAGCGCACCTTTGCACGAGTGATCTATCATTATGGATAAAAAAAACCAAACATTTTCTTCTAATGTTTCGGATACGAAACATTAGATTCTATCTAATGTTTATCTAATATCGACTCTATTTTTATATAGTTATCTTTTTAGTATGTTATATTCAAACACCTTTTTCCTTACTAATATCTTTTATTTTTCTTTCTCTCTCGTAGAATAAAGGGTTCGGGTTTAGCCTCGGGCCGTTACCTCACATTCCAAAGGTGGAAGAGGAAACCAGCCTTTTGGCCACTCCCGTGGACGAGGTAGTCGTGTCTGTCGACGAAGACATCGTCGAGGCTGCTGCCGAACCTGATGCGTTTGTTTTTGATGGAAGGCTGCAGGATTGGAAAAACGACGCAAAAGATATAAGCGTGTAAGTACTACACCTGGATATAGATTATAGGGTTTTAACCATTTAAGCTCCAAGGATAACCAACACCTAAACTCTACATTTAAAGTCAAGGGCACGAGAATCAACGAACCAATCATCTCAATGGAAAACCGTTGTGATCTTCACAAATTCTCACAATAGTTCTTATTACATATGTCCTTACGTGCTAAAAAGTGCAACGAGAGTTGACTTGTTAAAAGTTAGAAGGTATCGAGACGACGGGATAATGAGATGAAAGGGGGTAAATTAAGCATGGAATAGAGCTAATTACTGAGAAGAATAGGCTTAGCTTTTTAGGTTTATTTTGCTTTACGGTTTCGCTTTTTGTTGGCCTTCGAAAATAAGTTCTGAAAGACTTCAAAAGCGTTGACGTTTGAAAAATAATATACAAACTCAATTCTCACAGCTGGCTTAAGGATCAAGACGAAAAACTACCCGACGAAACTAACGATGACACCATTGCTTCTCTTAAAGACAAAGAAAGCCATTTTGTGGTGAGTTTTGAGCTTTTACTAATTGCAAAGTTAGATTAAATGAATTTGCAAATTTGAATAAGTGCTAACCTTGCACTATACCCTAAATCGTTTTTTTTTTTGACTTGACGCGATTGACTTAACGAAGTCATTCTTGTTAACGATGTTATTAAATTATCAACGTCATCAACAAAATTTGCTCTTCTGTTATTGATATCAGTAAAACATGTCTTGAATTTGTTATTGCTGTTTTCGAAAGAGGAATTGCGATTAGAGGTGTAAGAAATCTTCATTCTTTGATAATTCTAGAGCCTCGAAAAAGAAATTCCTGACTACGAAAGAAAGTTCGATAATCTTGAGAAAGACTATGAAGCGCTGATCAAGGACAAACATATATCTGAAAAGCAGCATGAAGACGTCAGCGAAGATATGGATAAGTTGAGGGGCCAGTGGCGCTCTTTCAACACGGATAGAGATGTCAAGAAAAACCGGTAAAGGAATAACTTAAATGATATAAGAATTGACGAATTTTTGAACTGTGGATTATAAATGGTAAATTGATCCTCGCAATAACTGACTTTAAAAAAGAACTGCAGAATTGAAGTATGTGCTTTGGTCCAGATATCAGCATAATTGAGCATTACCAACCATTAAATACCACGATTCGTTAATTTTTAAGCTGAAAGAAGACGACGCGGCAGTCAACTCACGTTTTGAAGCCGTATTAACCTGTTGTGCCCTTAGCAGGTCTTGATTTAGTGATTAAAATATCTATGAATTATCTGATGCTAGAATAAAAAGGAAGCTTTGGGATAAAGAACAACAGAAAGCCGGCGAGCTTACCGGGTGCAGGGTTAACTTACAAGCAGTGAAGGACTGGATTGGACTTCGGGATAAAGAAATTGAGAATATGGATCCCATAGGAAACGATCCGAAAACTTTACAACGACAGAAAGAAGACATGAAGGTAAATATACAGATATCTATTATAGAAAACATCATGTCATTTGAATTATTCATATGTTGATCATTTTCACTTCCATTTTTTTTCTTGCCCCTAAAATTGATTTAAAAAAAAAAACGTTTTCCTTTTGTTTGTGGCCTTAGCGCACGCGCTAAAACTCGAGCTGTAACTTACAATACAAACCAAGAAAACGAGATAGGTACAAATTAGTATTCGGATCAATGAAAGTGTCTGTCGGTCGACTTTTCACAATAGTCAACTGACTACATCTTGGGATAAATGTTTGGTTATGGGAGGGGTAGGTGTGTATTCTCTTCAGATATTCTTTCACAGAGTCTTTAACGTTTCCACAGCTATTAACCAAACGACTACATGATTACGAGCCACGATTCACTGAAGCAACGGACACAGCGTACAGATTATCTAAGGACCCATACTTTTCGAATGAGCAAAGCAAAGCTCTTCGACAAGACGCAGAGGACTGCGAAAAACATTGGGATGACGTGTTGGAAAAAGCCACAGATCGTATGGACCGGTAAATTAGTAACTTATTTCGGTTATCTCACGTCAGAGACACGCTTTTAATAGTTGGCAGTTAACACTCAGTTCATATTAATGGTACAATTAACTTGGAAGCAATTAGCAGCGGAAATTGGTATCGATTCCTAAGCCAGCCACCTCTTCTTCCTCAGAGGTGAACTAAGAGTATCTCAATCTTTTAAAATTTCTAGTCAGTTGATAATGAATTTCACTAGCGTAGTCGAGAGTCAACCGCATGCAAATATATCAAAAACGTTTTTATTAGGGTTCTTATAATTTATCTGAACCAACCGGCTCGAAATTTCATGCCCACTCATTTCAGATGTGTCATTAGTTTTGTAGTGGAAGAAAAGGGGGTTATTGATTGACAATCTAAAAAAACCTCTCAAGAGAATACAAGAAGTGTATCGCACATCAAAAAGACATATTATTTCCTAACCCTCCAAATAAAACAGTTCTAACTATATAAAATTTCCAGTTTTTCAGTGTAAATATTGCGTACCACCAACGTTTCTAAATTATAATTTGTCTTCTCAGGATCGTGAAGAAGATTCCCAAGCTTCAAAAAGACCAAAAGGAAATAGTCGACGAATGGAATGACAGATCTGCTCGATTTGAAAAATCTTTGAAAAAAGCAGAAGATAAACTGAAAGAACAAGAAGCTATTGGGAAGGAGGTGAGAGCGCTAGTGATGCTTTGGTTTTTATGAGAGCCGCAATAAGAGTATCGATATCTTAAAAGCAAATGACCAAGCTAGTGATCAGCATCTTGGCCTGTTATGATTTTCGAAAGAGAAATAGTTTGTCCTCAACGAGTGAGCGTTTTACGGCAACTGCACGAGTATTCGGCTAATAAGTCCCAGAGAAAATGCGGTGTGAAGTTGTGGTAGACACAGGTGGCATGAAAATTGCGGTAATTTTAGGCTAACTAAGGTTTAAACGTTTCGACGGGTGGGAAGACCATATATCACTCCACATTGGGATGAAAGTGAGTTTCCAGGCTAATAATTTTTTCTTCTCCGGATTTCCTCTCTTGTGACACAGATTGGCTTTGAGAGGCGGCTCCCCGAGATCAGGTCACCAGAACTGACAAAGAAACGAGGAGAAAACAACAATGAGTGGAAACCCACCGTAGATGAGTGCAACGCGAACCTTAGAACGTAAGTACAATTAACTATTCCTTTTCGGCTTACAAAGTTTGCGGTCTTTTCCATCAGAATTATCCCTTGTTTACCAGTAAAGCAGGGCCCTTTAACAGCCCCCCCCCTCCCAGCCCCTTTTCTTGACGGTACACAAAATGACACCCGTTATCCTATGAAAAATCCTACCTATTCCCACTTCTTTTGTAGACTAATTCATTCTTCCTTTGTGATGATTTTTTCGTTGGTTTGTTTGTTTGCTTTTTGACACAGAGTGGCGCTTGATTTTTCAGGGTCAGAGAAAGGCTGCAAGATATTCAGCGAGCTAAGAAAAACCGAAAGTGGTCGATTCTTGAGGCTTTAAAAGATGCTGTACATTCAATCACCGCCAGATTTCGTGGAAATTCCAGAGTCGGAGCTGAACATGGGGTCAATTTAGACAAAGTTGTCGACCTCTTGGAAGATCATGAGGTAAAGAGAACTACGACTTCTGTTCCAATAATTATACGTTTGTGACTAGCCTTTGTAGTGCAAAATTGGAGCCGCTAAATTTTGACACAATTTAATTTTGTTAGTGGCTGCCTTTGGTAGTCAAATTTTTACTGAGTTGCCTCGTGTTCTGTTCTGGATAAAAACAAACTATTTTCGGCTGATTTTCTGGATAAGCAGCGATTAATCATAAACAAATAACTCTTACCTTTTCGTTGTCGGTTTGCCAAAGAAATGCTCGAGTCATTAGTATACCTCGCTGGGCAGCAAAATCACTTAACCGACGATAGTTTATCCCAGTGGACTGATTTCAAAGGGTTACAGGTGTTCTTCACAAGCTTACTTCCCTATTTTGTTTTCAGGACATAATGACCGATGCATCAACCAGGCAAAAAGATGCAGATGAAGTTTTCACCTTGGGTAGGAGCGCCATTGACAGTGGTTTGCTGGAAAATGAACAAGCTAATGAAGTACACGATCGAATGACGGACTTGAATCATCGATGGAATGGATTGAACATTGATGTCATTGAGCGCGAGAAAAGGTTGGTGTTTGCGATGTTCTCGGCCTCGAGCATGTTACGTGCGTCTATTTTAGAGCTGCGGATTTAATTGGGTCGTCATTCTTTTTTTAAAATATATTTTGTCCAATCATTTTCGTTTATTTATTTCCATCTTTCAAAGATCAGCTTTTAAAGGGAGGCGAAAATTCTCTATCCGATCTCCCGATCACGGAGCAGTGTTAACTAACAAGAACCAAGGCCATCCTGTTTCATTTCCGACACTCAACTCAAAATTAGTCTTTGCACTTGTTTAACTAGGTAGCACTATAATAAAAGCAAACGACTCACGTTCCAGTACAGCACCAAAGGTGTAAACTTTCGTGTCATAGTAAGAGCATAATTAACGGGACATTCAACTGGAAAAAAAAATACTGCATTCACCTCTACGTAGAAGCTGCTTTTAGATTAAAACAGATGGGGAAGTTGAATACATCAAAACGGAGAACCTCATCTTGGTACCATCTAAACTTTTCTCTTTGGAAATAACTTTTCTATTGTTCCTGCGTTGAGGCCTTCAAGACGTTCTTATTTAACAATCATAATCATTGATTTTAAAGACGAGTAATCAGTTAAAGAATGACTCCACTTGTACATTTCTTTACTCTTTCGCCGTTTGATAAATTCACAGTTACACGGAAAATCACGAAGTTGTCTATGTAAATTAACTTGGTTTATTCGTAAACAGAAGTGTGAACGTCAAATATTAGTTGTGTATTACCTTAAATGTGACGTTTGTTTGCTTTTCCGTGACAACGGCAATTCAAGATGAAAATACGCATTAAGATCAGATTCCTAAGTTGCCAAAAGAGCGTTTTGAACCCCTAAACAAGGTCTAACAAGATTTTAGGTTTTAACCAAAGCATGGATACAGGCGATGACTATTTTGAAAAATCATTGGCTTTAGCCTTCGAAACAGTTGACTTAATGCAGAGCAGGTATACTTTTCAATGATTATGCTTGGTTAAGTAAGTGTAGTATAAACTAACTCGACCAACGGCGAACAGCATTAGAAACACTTAACACAGTGGACATCAAAAGTTAAAGGACAAAATGTGTATCTCATTGAGCAATTCAATTTTCAGACCAAAATTGATCGAGCAATTCCTTATGTCTTAAAGCTTATTGCGCTCATCAAATGGGCTAAGACTCCCCAATGAATACTTAGAAGAAAGCATCTATTGTGTTCTTCTCATTAGTTATAACCCTCTTCCAACTAACGATTAAGGTTATGAAATATTTAAAATGTGGTACTAAGCTTGCTCTATTACTTTGTGGCAAGGAATACAGAGGAGGAATACAGGAGCACCTATGATATATTTCTAACATGCATGATATGTTTGATTATCGCAGATACGCTTACGCTGATACAAAAAGAGTGCTAACTGTATTGATACTGCTAAAACGAGTGACAAACAATAGACTGACCTCCTAAAAAGCGCCAAATCCTCCGTCTCTTAAATTAATGACGTTTGCTAGTCAATGAAAACAGAGTCAACAATTTATCATGGTTCGTGAATGTATATTGCCAGGCCAACGTTTTTGCATCGAAACCAAATCACATTTGTCATAAAACCAACTTCTCTGGAGTGTTATTTTATCGTGTCGTATTGTTTATAAATATATTTTTTATTGACTCTCTTCAAGTGTTCTTATTAGTAAGACTTCTAAGTTAGCCGAGAGCTCTTGATACGAAATAGCATTCGATTTCCTTTCCTGGGAGGTCTTTGCAGGAAAAATATAGCATTTTTTGATAGACCATGGGTTGTCATCATCAAAGTATCAAGATGAGAGCACATTATCGTCAACTGCAGTTTAAAAAAGTTTAACTATTTTCCCCCCTTTCTAGGCTTGAGAAATTAGCCGAAGACATTGAAAGCGAATACAAGAGATTCGACTCCTGGCGTGAAAAATGCGATAACATGAATCAGTGGCTGTCAGAGTCAGAAAAGCTCATTAAGAACGAGGAGAAGATTGGATCAGATATTGGAGTCCTTCAAGAGCAAATCAAAGATAATCAAGTAAGATCCTTTAAGCGCTTAAATATTCCAGTATTAAATATGACATCATGTCGTTTTGAATCTTCTTTGCCGCTTAGAAAAAACGTTTTGAATCGGCTTATGAAAACTAGCAGATAACCCGTTTTTGCTTTTTTGTAGCGCAGTGACTACAGACCTTAACTTCTTACCCCCTTCCCCCTCCCCCCGTGTCATATCTCAGGATCTCCAGTAGATACGCCACTGACTACGAATTACAATTGCATTATTCCTATTTTTGAAGAGCTCTTCTTCAGTTATCTATGTGACTTTAACGTTTGTTACGCGGTTTTTGCAGCTCTTTATTAAAGAAATGAAGGCCTATGAACCGAAAGTAGACGCCATGGTCGAGGAAAGCCAAGAACTTGTAGAGAGCAGCAGACTGGATAAAACAGACATTGATGGGGTTGACAAAACTAAAAATGCTCTCAATTCGCGATGGAAGGCTGTCAATGATCACCTTAATGAGAGGCAACGAAAGTAAGTGACTCAACCGTTTGCTAATGCCACGAACTGCAAATGTTCAACAACATTGAGTGACAATGACCCGTCTACGATTTTCGAGAGCATCTGTCACATGTTTTTCATACTCTCTTCGCAAGATCTTCGTGGGTTGATTATCGAGAAAATACCAGTGCTGACTTTCAGAATCCCATTCCATTTCATTCTTGGGACATCCAAGGGTAAAAGTATAGTTTATACAAGCACCCCATTTTTTTCGTCAGCTTTTACTGATTGTTTTCGGTATTCAGTTACAAATTGTAAACTCATTGGTGCAGAGAGGTGATGTGTTTCTCACAAGTTGATACAGTGACTCTAACTACTGAGATCAGTACCAGAATTCTCGGTGCCGCTTACCTGCTTGTGTGAAAGGCGTTGCTGAGCATTGCGTTATGTCACGTTGGGTTGTTTGGGCCTTAGAATCAAGGGCGTACACACATGAACTTTGAACTCAGTATAGCGGAAGTTTTTGTTGAAGATCACCTGATCACCAATAATTCGGGGACTAAGATTAGTATTCGGTGTTCTTTCCTATATTAAGTACAATCCTTAAAAAAACTTTAACTTGTGAGTTGATACTTGAAACCAACACCGTGCCTTTTATCGGCTGACGCATGATGCGTTCATTATATCCTCTCTCCCTTACCCATATCTTTTAGGCATTTAGATGCTATCCCTCGTCTTAGGATTCTTTAATTGTGGGCGTTTAACCCTCTCAGCAATTTTCTTACTTTATGCAATATAGGCTAGACTCTGCTCTCCTGGACATACTAAAGAAGGATTCAGATGGCAGGCTTGGCCGATGGAGAGAGCAATCGATAGCTCTTGGTTTGCTTGTTACGGAAGCTAAAAGGAAAGTTGATGATGATGTTGACGATACAGATTTTAAAGATATTCAAGAAAGTGCAGTGCAACTCCAGGTGGGTAAAATACTTTTTAATAAGAGCACTGACATTTATCAATTATTTTTAATCCTATCTGCCAAAAAAGTCTTCACTTGAAGCAACTTGCCAGTCTTTCACTCAAGAAAGGTACACATGTGCAAAACTAAAACTGCATTGAAAAAGGTTCGATCACACGCGCGCCATTTTGAGGGGGTTAGAATGTGCATTAAACATCTCTGCCAATTAAAGGCACATCTATTCGAAGAGGGGCGTTTTCGCGGGGAGGTGCTAACTCGAGGATTTATATTACTTTCAAAGCAGACTATTGCCTCCATAGATTAGAGGTGTCGCGAAGATTAGAGATTGTAGATCGCGACGATTCACGTCAGAGATGAGATCCAGCGCTAATCGTCATTTTTTTAGAATAGAATGAAGTTTCCGCAGTCATTGTAACGGTCAAGCAAAGACAGTGACCATATTAAAGGAAAGTTATCTTTCATCGCTCAGTTCGAAAAAATCTCTACAGAGATGAAAATTTGGTCTTCATCTTTTAAATAGGAAGTCGAAAATTCGCTCAACGAGGACCTCAATAGGGAGCTGCTTGAAGTAACGAATGATGGTCATCATGTCATCGAAAAGGAGGAGACACAGCCCGACGACAAACATGAGATAGGAAAGAAAATAGACGAACTTAACAGACAAGTTTCTGAGCTGGAAAAAGGAACAAGAGAGAAAAGGGACAAGTAAGGAAACTATGGCCCGGTTATTTAAACAAAGTTTGGCCGTTGTTTAACAAAACCACGTCCTAAACTATCTTCAATTTAGCTGAACCTTTTATGTGAACATTAATTTTTGTGAACAGTGTTAATAGAGCCGAAAACCAACTGCGGGAGGACATTTATTTAAGTTAAATCAAGCCTCTTCTAGGGAATGCCTAAGGCCCATTGTTTGTGTAAAACCGGGGTTTGGGTTAGACCTCGTTTAAATAACCGGCCCTATGAGTCCTGGAACTCCCAAAATCTTGTTTAAAATGCCTCCCTTTGGCTCCTACATAATGCTTCTGCAAGTATTTAAGATAGAACCCTACCACTAAGTTTTTTGTATTCTAATCACCCGTCTGTGGGATATCTGTTACACTAAGTAGAGGTTACAGCACTCGATTACATCTGGGATTTAAAGCTCACTTACAACAGATAAAAGTTTCATTCTCAGTCTTATCCAAAAAGACTGAGAATGAGTGCCTTTAGAATGCGTTATTGGTATTTTTGGATCTAGTGCGTTGGTAGTTTTGAAACTGCATCGGAGAAATTTTATTTCTGAGGCACAATTTCCTTTCGTGTTTCAGTCGTTATTTGATAATGAAGACAGAGTTTGTGTATCCATTTATTCGTTAATCGAATGTGATTTTATCAAATGTATTGAACAGGATAAAAGAAGCCTCTTTGAAGTACTTTGGCCGCTCATTGGCCGATTGTGAAGAAGCCGTCGAGAGACTTGAAGAGGAGTCCGTGAACAATTTTACTGATATTGGCTCTGATATCGAGGAGGTCGGAAAACAGTTGGAAGAGTTGCAGGTGAGACTTCATGAACGTGAAAGCCATTCAAAGTTTAAAGAGTGCATCACCTGCCATTTCGCAAACATGTTTTCTGTCCTGAAGAACTGTCTGGCTCAAATGTTCGTTTCTTCTTTTGGCTCTCTTGCTCATTTGTTCGCTCATTCGTTCAACAGTTCGTTTTATACTTTGTTTGCTCAATTGTGTTCGACCATTCACTTGTTCGCTCGTTCGCTCTTTCCCTCGTCCGTTCCTTCAGTTGAGCGCTCGTGTGCTCGTTCGCTCGTTCGCTCGATCGTTCTTTTCAGGGTTCTAAATAGTCATTTTGAAATGCTTACCAGTGTGTTATTCTTCATCTTAAAAGGAATTTGAAAACGACCTAGATAAAGAAGAAGCAAAATTTAATGACATCAAAGACCAGTTTGCGAACTGTAAGGAAACAGATTTACTCAGAGATGAAGACCGAGTGAGAATCCAGAGAAGAATAGGAGCACTTGATGAGAAGTGGGCAGAACTGAACAAATACCATGATGCCAATCATGAAAAGTAAGCCGATTTTCTGCGTTTGAGATTTTGGCACATAGTATGAAACAAAAGTCCACTGAGCGACATATGGACCCATCGGCTGACTATGATTGACTGCCTGACTAAAAGACCGACTGATCGGCTAACTAACTAAGTGACGGGAAACGCCGGGAGTATGCCGTAATTTGAAGTAAATACTTGCGCAGTTGATAACATTTATTCACCTGGTTTTGTAGGTTAAACCAAGCGCTGATAGTTCGTCATGAAGAATTAATGGAAGAGGTCTATGATTGGCTGAGTGATGCTGAGAAACAAGCAGATTCTATAGTTGTGAATGAGGATGACATTGGTTCAGTCATGGAAGAGTATGGCAGGCACAGGGTATGACTCTCTACGTATTTGAGTGTCTTGTTTACCTCGCAACATTCGGTATCATTTTCTTTTTATCGTGATAGGTTATCGTCCATTCTCGTCCGGTTGGAAGGTTGATATTTTAGATTAAAATTTTCGCGATTTGTCGATCTGTCCGTTGATTGCTTTTTTATTACCTATTTGGTTATTTTTTTGAACAGGAGTTGAAGGAAGAAATTTCTTCATTTGAGCCGACGTTCAAGAACGCAATAGGAATCAGCGATAGGCTGCTGACCGAAAGGATCGTAGATCCTGAAAGAGCTGAAAGCTACGAAACAGAGATAAATACTCTGGAAAACAGATGGAAAAATCTGCAACTTAAAACCATGGACAATGGAGCTAAGTAAGCACAGTTGGAAACACACTCTAAAGTTTTTGTGGAAACTTCGTCGAAGAGGTCGTAAATTTTGTATAAAAAGATTAAAATTCCCGTTTTGTGACGCTTCCTTCGCAATTAGTAATCTGTGCTGGATGTTGCGGATGATATGCTTCTAACGTGTTACAGTGTCATTACCGTTACTTGGTGTACTTTAATTAACCATTCAACTATGCCACCAGGTCCTGAGGAAGCAAAGAGGGAGAAACATCTCGGAAGGTCGCTACTCTTTTGTGATAATTAGATAGGTCACTCGTTTAGTCAGAGTACTTAAGATAAAGTAACATCACAGCGTAAATTCTCGATAACAATTTGCTATGGTATCCTTTCTATCTTTGCAAGATTGTCTGGTGTGCTTGGAAGGTACGTAACGATACGATTGGATGAAGCGGAGGTGAAGTTGACACATGCAGAAGCAAGCATCAGCAGAGATGATGCTGACTACTTAGACATAGATGGTGCAAAGGAAGCACTGCAAGCATTCAGAGTGAGTAACATTCTAATTTGTTCAGAATTGGTTATCAACTATTTCATGGGTGGCTAAGAAGGAATTTTTAATTTCAAAGTCGATACGTTTCCAAACAGAAAGGTGCATGAAAGAAACAAACATATAAACTAGACGGTATTAACTTTTTTAAAGTTGATTTAATGTATAGCAGACAGAGAGAGAATTGATACACAGATCTTGGAGTAAAAAGAAAATTTTTGCAAAGATGATTATTCTCAGAGGAAGTATGCTACCAATACTATGAAAATTAAAAAAATGTGTGTCAAAATTCCTTGCTTATATTTGTTCGTTCGTTCGTTTGTTTTTTTATAGGTGAAAAGGACTGGCATTCATGATTCCCAAAAGAAGGTTGACAGAATACTGGACGAGTCCCGTGCCGTTGTCAGAGAAGACTTCTTCAAGGAACACGAACAGGAACATTTCCAGGGAAGAATTGATATGATTGACAAGAGAAACAAAGGACTCGAAGAGAAGGCAGACAAAGAGGAAAGAAGGTACGATATTAACCGAGTAGAGGTGGAAAGTGTTATATGCAATTGACCCAGTTCACATTACTGCAGACCGAAAGCTTTTTTTAGGGGGGATTCAATCGAAGCAGTGTTATTTAAGGAAATAATTTAAACACTTAGAAAAACAAAAATTTGGCTCAAAATTCGTTGTCGTTCGTGGCTTGTTGCTTATTCCTGTTGTCGTTTTTCCTCAGGTTGCTTGACACATACATTTTGCTGCTTAAACAACACTTACAAAGAACTAACATTTGGCTCAAAATGGCGGAGTCCCGGATCAAGCAGGAGGGCGAGACTGGTCCAGGCTATGATGACGTAAAGAAACAGCTGGAAGATCATCAGGTAAATGTGTAAATCACATTAAATTCAGATTATATTCCGAGCCTATGATAACCATTCATTTCCTCTTTTTTATTATTATTTGAATAGTACATAGACATATTTATACTTCTTTTTAAACTTTTTTCAGGTCTTTCAAGAGGAGCTCAGGGATCACTCGATGATTTCAACGATTCTAGGCGTGGACGTCTCCGATCCTGACATCACGCAAGGCACCCAGCAACAAGTAAAGTCACTCAGCGACCGGTGGAGTAAAGTGTGGAACTGGTCGGAACAGAGAAAAGCTCAGTTGCTTAAGGTATGTGTCGCTGAAGAAAATTAAAAGACTTGGTCCGCGGGGTTAACGTTGTAGAGCGTTTTGCATGCATGGAATTGGACACCGTTAAAATCCAAGACTACACAAATAAAAATGGCCAATCACTGCAAAGAAAGGCATGTACTCCAAACCTAGGAGCCAATGAGAATATACTTACACGTGGAAACAATTAAGTTATGTTTTGTATTTGATATGTTTAAAAAATGTAACTCATTCAGGTTTGTTTGTTTGTTTGACCTTATTTTCTTCTGTTTTGTGGCTTTAAAGGATAGCTGCCTGGTGGTTTTCTCTGTTAAAGAAAAAATAATAATAAAAAAATAAATAAAGAAAGAAACCTCGTTTTGAAAGCGACGCGCAGGTGCAAAATCGTAAGTTAATGTTACTAGCTGTAAATTATGTCGACATGATTCATCAGTATATTGCGCATTTTAATTCCAACGGAAATAAAGAGGTTCTTTTTTCTCCTTTTCTAAGGTTCTAAGTAACTGGCAACGATTCCGTGACGAGCAGATGATATTATTGAATTGGCTGTCAAACAAAGAAAAAACCTTAAAGGAGATGGCAAGAACAGATCTTACTGATGAAGCTGAAGTCAAAGATCATTTAGAAAAGCTCAGAGTAAGTGTAAATCATGTGCTGACTTCTTTTGCTCTATGCCCTTCACCGAGATTTCGTCAAAACTGAGATCAATATTTAAAGTTTGCTTTGACTAACCCCTTGACAGCCTTGTTATTGTTACCGATTTTTTTTCTATTTGTCAGTTTTAAGTGCATTAAAACTTTTTGCAGCGTAAATGTATCTATCTTGACTTCATATTTATATATTCATTTATTTTATGTCTACGAAAATCAGGTAATTGAAAAAGAGTTGGATGAACAAGGAATACGTTTGCAATCCTTACACAAAGCCGGAGAGGATTTGTTAAAGAACGTAGATGCGGGAGATCCGGCTGCAAAGGAAATTAAAACTCAGCTGAAAGACTTTGATGATTGCTGGAATGACATTGCAAAACAAGTTATAAACAGAATTCAACAGGTAAAAAAAAAAAAAGGAGAAATTTCTCGAGAAGCTCTCTTGATTAGGACTGATCAATTTTTCCCTGTCTGGTTTTCCTTCTGCGGTATGTAGACAACGGTCTGTCGGGTCGTAAGTCCATCGATATAGCTGTTCGCCAGGCCTTTGTCTGTGAGCCAGTTTGCTTTGTTATCTGTACGTTGGTCCCAATGTCCGTCTGTAAACTGAGTCTGAGCAATGTCCCGTCCGTCTGTCGGTCGATTAAGCTAGTCATCGGTATATATTTATTGCTAGAGCTATCGGTCTAAAATGCTTTGTATCTGTTCTGTAGCTTGAAAATTCTCAAAGTAAACTTAAGGAGTTTCATTCGGAAATGGATGCCACAAATGAATGGATGGATGAAACTGAACGGCTGCTCAAGACCTACAAGATTGGAATGGATCCAGAGGAAGCTAGCAGGCTTCAAGAAAAGACAGAGGTTTGTTTCATTGATCAAAGATTCCCATAAAAGCCGTATCTACTCTCTTTCTAAAACTGCTATGTCCACGAATATTTTTAGCTCCTTATCATTAAGCTTTTATATGTATGGATGTTCTTCTTGCAGTTATAATATTTTAGCCAAGTGCTTGAAATAGCTTGAAATCGTTAGGAGTAAGTTGCGATCATGATGTTAAGCTTCGAATCAGGCCTCAGACGATAATAGCGGCAAAGTATTCCACTTACGTGATTCTTCTTTCTCTGCCGAAAATATTTTCATCAATAACCCTGCAAATGGTGATCTTTAATTACAGATCAAATGTGAAGAACGATCCAAATTCGCTTCTAAAGTTGATCGAATCAACAGACTCGGCAAAGATCTGGCTGGGGAAATCGATGAACCATCCCATGATGCTATTCAGGAAGAACTACAGCCATTTAATAACCGTTGGAGCGATGTCTCTGATCAGCTTGAACTCTACAGTGACAAGGGTTACCCACAGCCGGGGAACGAGTGCTGCTTCTTGCGAATCATGAGGAAAAAATTTGGAGTGATACACTGATTTGTTACCTGTTACCAGTTCTCTCTGAAAACAGGATGAAATGTATATTTACCATCCGTTGTTGGTATCTACTTTAGAACTGGAAGTGTCCTCGAATCTCAAAGTAACACTGGATGAAGAAACAAGTCCTTTGAAAAGAAGAGAATTGCAACAAATATTTTGAATATTTTTTCAAGTGATGTACAACTGCCTTTTAAAATTACTCCAGTAGTTAGATGAATTTAAATTTAATTTTTTTTATAATTTTTTATGCTATTTCTGTGTGTAGTATTACTATTCCTTTATAATAATGATTTTTGAAATAACGCTTTCGAAACATTCTCCAAAGAAGTGCACTACCGCAAAGTCAAATTATTAATTGAATTCCGATGCGACTATCGCAAAGCCGTAACATTAAAAGGGGCAAAAATTTCATGGCCTTATTGGCATTTAATTCGGATGAGAGTGCCATAAAGATTTACTAGCTTTTACCCATCCAACGTCTATCAACTTAATAAGCTATCTTTAAACACGTGCAGATAATTCTGTGCTTTCCTTGACCGATATCATTTAACTATGCATTTATTAAGCATTGTCAGTGCTCATTAGTCATGATATATCTCGGTACCTAGCTTTTATATCGTTTTCATAATTATGCTTTTTATTTGCTTATGCATCTTTTTTGTTTACCCCATGTACGCAAGCACTCTTTGAGGCGACTTTAAGGTCTCTACATCATATTTGATACTTGATACTTAAATTGAATGCTTGAAGACTTGAATAAAATAAATGTTAATTGAGTTGTTCTGAGAATGCTTCTTTCATTACAAATGTATTGCTGTGGAGTAACTCGACGAAATTTTTTCCTGCTTGGTGAGAACAAATATAAAGTTCAGAGACCAAAGAACTTTTCTAAGAAAAGCGGAAGTCTGGTGACTGAGTTATAAATTCTCTAATTTGCATTTCCCAAATTCCTTATTAATAAAGAATTACCTAGCATCTAAAACAGTTGTTTGGGGACTGAATTGTGATTTTTTTGCGGTAAACGGCTTCCTTAACCGACTTAAGTCGGTGCATGAAGATCTTTGGGACGTTTCCGTGTTTAATCCTGGATAACATCAAGGAAATACTGCCGAGCACACTTTCCTATACTAAGGAGAAAATGTTGACGACGCTGTGATTCGGTTACCAAATAAGCATTCCGTTTTCTCAGGAGTTGGTGTCATTAAAAGAAAGCTCTAGATTTTGCGGGTAAGGAGAGGCCCATATTTCATCGAAGTTCAGTAAATTTTCAATTGTTACTATGCAAAATATCTTTGGTCATTTAACGCTTCACATGACCAATCATGTGATGTGGTCTTATCAGGTTAGAATTACGATCGTAAACAAAAGAAGACCCTAACTTTCGCTTTGTCATCAAATTTGAGTTGTGTTTTTATACGCAGCTGTCATCAATGCGTGCTGACGGAAAAGGGGTTTGACCTTAGTGAACCAAAACTCGTCCAAAAATTTTCATTCATTGGCCCATTGCAGACGTTGAATTCTAGGAAAAAGTCTAATTTTAGTTTTCTACGCAGCCATATACAGGACTTGCGACTTGCGGACTGTCCAATGTTATCACGGTCGCGATAGAGGATAGAAGATTCCAGGAGCATCTAAAAATTTAAACAGTCGAATGATACAACAGGGGAAGCTAAAGCCATTGTTGACAATGAATGCCCTCCTTGTGTTGGGTGAGTTTTTCACTTTGGTATAATGTCCAGATTTGTACTCAGTACTGGTTTTTCACATCTCTGTGATATCTCGTCTAATTGTCTCGGCCTCGTCATCCCGATATCGATCAAATGCCTCCATACCCTTAAGTAAAGGCTGTTAAACTAGGCTGCTGCACTGTTGCCAGGCTTGCCACTGAAAACATCGCTGAGTTTTTGGAGAGCTCATTCCAATCTTAGATTATTCGCTGTGATTTCCGAGAAAAAAAAAGCGATGACCGACGAAAATATAGCTAATTCTAAGAAGCGAGTCTCTACTCTTGCAATTGCGAAGTTCATATATTTCACCTGATTCCTAGCTACTTATGCTAACGTTGTTTGAAGCTTTTCAGAATTGAACTCGATCAAAATTATGCATCAATATTTCTCCCCCAGTGTAATATACTTTCTACTCCCTAGAGGATATTTTTCTACAGCCTAGAGTCCAACGCTGAATTAGAATTGAAAATGAAAAAAATATTTGTGTGAGTGGCGATCCCATCTTCGAGTTATACGAATATACGGTAATGTATCATTTTTAGAAGACTTACTTTCATGTTGCATCATTTTTCCGCTCTTAGGCCTCGCTTTGGTGACAGTTCAGGGATCACACCTCCCCGAAGGGGTTCCAGTACTTTTTACCACTGGAAACCAAATTTTAGGCGGAGAATCAACAAGAATTTACCATGCAGCTCTCTGTGGCGGTTGCAGCTTTGACGGGTTGACGGCTCAAATTCAAGTAAACCTGGTTAACAATCCATGGGATTGCGAATTGGGAGACTATATGATTATTTCTGTCGAAGATGGGAATGGAAGTGTCATTGCAACTAATGTCGATGGTAGGCAGATGCCCGTGCCAAACTTTAACTTCACCTATTCTGCTAAGTAAGAGTTTCCTGTTAGATAAACGTTATCACCTTAAAACCTGTCTTAACAGTTCATTTCGTTTCTCCATTTTCAAAAAATGCTTCGTTCATAGTTTCATATGATTCCTTTTGACGCATTGTGTGGCTTGTGTGGGCTAATGATGTTGTTGGTAATTAAGAACTTATGATTATACTTCATGGAAGTACAGTAAAAGGTATTTAAAGTCATATACCTTTGGATATCAATGTCAAGCTTTATTTAAAAAAAAGATTGAAATAGGTATATCATGATATATGGCCTAACTTACTGAATAATCCTGGGTTTTTCGAAAAGTAGTAGGATCCTTTACAAAATAACGATTGGCAATGGGGCCAATTGAACAAGTTCTTTGCTTATTAAGGTTACAATGAAACAAAACAGTCATAACAATAAGAATCAGCAATGTTATATATATATATATGCTCACTAGTTTATCTAGTTTGAGCAACAATAAGAATGCAAGCAATGTTATATATATATATATATATATATATATATATATATATATATGTATGTATCCATGTGTGTATTATATGTATATATATATATATTTAAATAACATCAGCTTTATTTCACCTTCATGATGTGTATAAGACCCTATTATGCCATGTTTTCACCGTCGTTACCAAATAGACTAAGGAATGGATCAACTCCACTTGCATTCCCTGTTGTTATGATGACTTTATAATCATTGTTCTTTTAGGTATAGAGATTTGTTTCTTCACATGAAAACCGGACCGGCCCCACAGTTTTTATTTACATTAAGCCTACTATTTGATTTCAAAACCCGAGTGCATGTGCCAGCTCATTGCGTTCCCAGATGGCAAATGACAGCTTCGGAGCACGCTGTGTCACAGAAGTACAAGCAAGGAAATGATACAGGTTTGTTATGCTATTTCCCTAAATGTGTTATTCTTTCTGCTACCTTACTGTCGATTTTGATGTAATAGCAATCATGTTTGTTTTATCGAGCATTTCTACCCTCTTTTTGCTTGTTTGTTTGTTTGTTAGTTTGTTTATTTTTGTTCTTATTGGTTGCTGCGCTCATCTCTCGAACTTGCCTGAGTGACCTGGAGTTTTCCACGCGCTGTTGACTTTTCACTCAGAAAAAAAGACCTTTACCTCCGATTTCAAAGTGCAGATGATCATTTTTTTTAACAATAAAACCAAAAGAAATAATTGAAATTAATTAAGTTTTAACTGTGATGTAACAGTATATAATTAGATAACTCATTAGACGCTCACATACGCTCTTTCTTCCCCATCAGCTGAACTTTACCAAGTTTTCAAAACTTTAACGACCCAAGAAGTTCCCACTGAAGAAACCAAGTTGTTCCAGCTTGGATACTGCTTCGCAAAACAAGGTGACTACAAAGTTATCATCACTGTCATCAAAGAAAACCTATGGCCTGGGCTTGCCACCTATGGCTGCACAATGTCGTACATAAAGCAACATGGGGAGTGTGGCGGGCTAACTCCATACAGAGATATGTCCGGTTTACCCGTCAATGTTGTGCAGATAGATATAAAGGAATCAGCTGATTATGGGCCTGTACAAGTCCTTGTGTTGGGGGAAGGGCGATACGGCCAAAGCAACGGCTTTATAATTGTTGCTCGTTTACTTCACTTACATTGATCTACGGAGAAAAAAGCACAAGAAGCGCTTTGCATAATTGCTACAATAGCCCCATTTGTTTTCCAAAATACGTAAGAAGTTAACTTGTATTTGATTGTTTTTATTGCTGCTTGTAATCGAAGTTATTTTGAATTTCATCTTTACTGAAGTACCAATAAGTACAGATTGCAGATAAAAGCGCTCCTTACCCCACTACTTTTGAATTCAATAAAGGAATTTTCATATTTGTTTCTTTTATTAAAACTTTAGTACTTCGAAAGGAGCATGTGCAGCTGTTAAGGAAAGTACAAGTATTTACCCAATTTTGCTTGAATAAATTGAAAATTTTATGAGAAATGCGAAAGTCTGGTAACTAGATCACCCGCATCCACATTCATTTGAGATAAAAATACCTTATCTTTAAAGCCAATATTAGGGCACTACTTTTCGAAATTTTTCATGGATAAATGAACTCCCTTAAAGGTTTTAAGTGTTGGAAGTAAGTACGCTAAAAGTACGCTAAATTTTGAAAGAGATAACGTTGAACACATTATGCTTAGTCAAGGAAAAATAACCTCAATTACATCATGGATTTGGTTGCCAATGACAATAGAATTATGTTTTCTTAGAAAAAATCACCGTGACATAGCATATTTTTAGATCGATGGTTCGTGCTGGAACGAGGAAAATAAGTTTACTAACTGATCTGGTGAAGTATTACAGAACAGATAAAAAGGTTTCCACGATTCCTCGTTTTTTCATTAGCTGCCACGCCACCATATTATTGAATCCTGAAACGTGTATCGTGTATTCTTTTATAACGGAAACACATATTCAACTTTCAGCTCTTTCGAACAGCTCATTTTGTGATCAGTTTGAGATAATGAAAACAGGGCAAAACACCAAATTCCCCGAGAACAACAAAAACAAAAGTATCGAAATTAAGAAATGATGAATTGCAGCAACAGATTATAATATCTTGATTCCAAGCAAATGGAAATAAGCCAAAATACCAAATCTGTGTAGCAGGACGAAACAAAAAAGTCGAAATGAAGAAATGATTAATTGCAAGAAAATGGAAAAAAAGGCAAGATACCAAATTTGTGGACAGTAGAAAAACATAGAAATCGAAATACCTTAATATATAGAAAAAAGATGTTTTTTTCGTCTCGTCACGAAACCGACCTTTCTAAACTGAAAGGTCTCCAAAGAACCGATGGTCTGATGTTCGATTCTTCATGGGGACTCGGAATTTTTTCTATGTCCCACGCTCGTGACAAGACGAAAAAACATTCATCTCTATTTCTTTACCGAGCTCAAAACTTGGATCATTCAAGGTTTCTGGTAAACCAGTCCAAAAACTCTCGATCTAAAACGACCACGATACCTCGTTTTGCCACTCTGCGACAAACGAGGCTCGATTACGCAATCGAGCTTCGATTTTCCAATCGAGCCTCCATTTTTCAATCGAGCCTCCATTTTCCAATCGAGCCTCCATTTTCCAATCGAGCCTCCCTTTTCCAATCGAGCCTCCATTTTCCAATCGAGCCTCCATTTTCCAATCGAGCCTCCATTTTTCAATCGAGCCTCGTTTCTTTAATCGAGGCTCGTATCGAGAAAAAAAAAAAAGAAAAAAGAACGGAGGAGAGGTAAGTAGGGAGAAAAAATAGAGAGAAAGGAAGGAAGGAATGCACCAGGCGGCAAACGTAATTTACTTATTCGAGAGGGCCCAGGGTCCCGGAAGGGTTGTATCGGTATGGGTAGAATCCACTGAGCAAATGATTGCAGGCGCATTGATTGCTCAGCGATTGAACAAAACAGAAGGTAGGAAAGCCGCATTAGGCGCTTCTGTGATTTCATGCCAAAAGAAACCGCCAACAAGTTGTGAATGGGAGATGAATAGATGGAATGCGAGAAAGCACAGAGGATAATTTTCGTTTCTTGGTTTCCAAAAGTTTTACCCGCCGAAAATGGAGTGTACATCGCAGGTACAAAGCGGTTAAGCTTATATTATTTACTGTATTCAATTGTTTTAGGTACTTGTACTAGGCTTAACATCGGTCAATGCAGAGCAAAGGAAAATGTAGTACGACCCATAGAAGCGGAGAGGATGAGAGTCTTAAATTCAGTCTGATAAACAGTTAAGGAACTAAAGTGCTCCTTTAATTACATGGTATGTGTGGTTAATCTTCAGTGAGCTTAACACCCATAAGTCTCAAGGTGAACAGTTTCTTTAAAATTAGAATTTTCCTAAAAAAAAAACCCAACAACAACAAGAAAACGTTCAAGAGAGAGGACAAAGTCCTTCACACGGGGAGTGTATATCATTATTATGTATTTCTTTCTTTCTTTCTTTCTTTCTTAAAAACAAGCCTCGAGTGAAGAAACGAGCCTCGATTAAAGAAAGGAAGAAAGGAAGGAAAGAAGGAAGGAGGGAAGGAAGAAAGAAAGAAAGAAAGGAAGAATGGAGGGAAGAAAGAAAGAAAGAGAAAAAGAATACTGCAAATTAAAAAATTAATAATTTAAACCCATATGCTTTTGTAACGGCAAACTTAGAATCTTAATGAAGAGTTTGAACAATTGACAGTTCACATTCTCTTTTGGCTTGTTAACTTGGCAATGATTCGTAGCTCATTTACGATTAAAATTGATCAGTTTGTTTTTTTTCCCTGGCGCTCACTACCGATTCCTTTTCCGAAAGCTTTCACCTTTAGTCCGGGTTAAGTTAAAAGACGCAGTAACCCAAGATGCGCCGATCTAAATTGTGCCATAAAGGAGGAAAAATTCATTTCCTTGGCTCGTAAAAGTGTTACTTACATAAAAACAAACACTTCTCTGTCCATCATGAAACACTTAGCCCGGTGTTCTTTCTAGTCTAACCATATCTTTAAATTTTTACTCTGGTAATTTTAGTCGCGGGTCTGGTTGCTCAAGGCAGATTTACCATTACTTTTAGGGAGAATTTTGATCATCTTTTGTTAAATTCATGAAGTATCCAGCAAACATCTTGTGTTCTTTTGATTTTTGTGCTGCTTTCATATTGGGTTAGTGCTAGTCGGTTATCAAAAGACGCGATTCGGCTGATTACGGTAGCCAACGCTTGCGCTCATGTTTAGGTTTTTTGCATTTATGGGTAGGTCCCCGTTGCGGGGCATACGCTAGGTGCCACCCTTGACGGGATCTGATGCCAGTTGTGTGTTTATAAATCTTTACGTGGATCGAAAGCTGTAAAATGAGTTCACGTATTTTTTGTTGATGGAATCGCGTTCTATTTTTTAGCAAGGAGCTGATGAACAGACCCGTGTCCTTATTGTGCGGACACAGTGGATGCCAAGAATGTATACATCAGCTTATTTCAAATCAATCCGGAGGTGGACGGGAAAAGGCGTGTGCAGTATGTCGGGAGCCAATCAACGAACACATGTTGAACATCAGCATACCCCTCAGTTCAGTCATTTCCAAATTGAATGTGAAATGCACAAACGTTGGCTGCTCGTGGGTCGGTGAGCATGGTTCTAAGGAGAGACATCAAGAGACCTGCTCATTCCTCCTTCTGGAATGCCCCAATGGCTGTCCTGGATCGCATTTGCGAGATTCACTTGAGCGTCACTTGGAGATCTGCCCTCAAGAGAAAGTACCTTGCAAGTACTGCACTGCTGAGGTGGAGAGGTATATACTAGATCAGCATGAACCAACCTGTCAAGAAAAGCCCGGACCATGTCCATTAAATTGTGGCCATAATTTGCCCAGGTCAGTTATCATTCAGTTATCGCCATGAATTGATTCACAAAATTTTGTCATCATTTTGTTAAAGAAAAGAGCATGGAAAAAAAATTAATCAAAAGGACCAACACCCGGTTTTGCCCCAGTAGTAAAGCGCAGTTAAGGTAAAACTTGTTAAAATTTTTTTTGGCCTCTTAAAGGGTTAACCCGGTAATAGTAATAAAATTCCCAAAGAAGCCCGATAACGTAAGATCCATGTGTGTCTATTTCAGGTCCCATGTTCACCTTCATTTGGACGAATGTCCTAAAAGAATGATGAAATGCAGCGTGGCCAGTTGTAACAATTTCTACCAGTTAGGGATGGAAAATGCCCACAACGAACTTTATCAAGGAAGCCACCAGGCGCTACTTAAGAGTCAAGTTGAAAGTCTTCAGCGCGCGATTTATGACAAGGTTTGTTGATCTCATTTAGGAGACTCGTTTTCAAGTATAACAGTTGATACTTTTCATTCAGTTAGAATTTCGATGTTTTCGTTTTTATTTACTTTTGTTTCTTACTTTCAATAATAATAATAATAATAATAATAATAATAATATTATTATTATTATTATCGTTGTTTTTCTAAATATTGTTATTATTATTATTTGCAGTCTCAAGTTGCCGTGAAAAGGGAGTTTTCTAAGCGAAAGTGCTACCGGTGGACAGTGCCGAAGTCGTCAATCCGAATTCCAAAGGATATTTCAAGTCCACTGTTTGGGTTTGAAAGTCACACATTTCGGTGCCTGTGGAAGAGGACCTCTGGCCAAAATAGGCTGTTTCTAAATGCAGTGTTTGGCTCTTCGCCAATCACAGTTCAAACAAGGTATGAAAGTCAAAAGGCACTCCCACCCTGACCGTTACTAAGTGAAATGGTAGTTGGGACAAGGCTCTCCCTAAGCAGCAATACTTGGTGCAGACTTACTTGACTGGTCCTCTTGTGACAGAACTTATGTTAACTGAACACATTTAGGCTGAAGTACTTATAAAAGACATGTCAAATAGCATATAAACAAAAAAACTTTCGTGAATAAAAAGAACTGTCATGGCTCCCTCCTGCATAACACTAACATTAACACCTAATCAAATAATACTTACAACAGCAGGGTTGAGCAACTGACAGTATATATTACCACATAGTTTTAAATAAAGGTCATGACACTATATAAACAACTTATCAACATAAGTTAATTAGAGACATAATGAAACAGAGATCATGTTTTTATGTAATTAGCTTAGTAAAATCTTTTACTGAGTGTTTAAGAAATGGTATTGAATGTCTCACTTTGATTTACCATTGAAACATGAGGTCATGGAATTAGATAAGTTAATGTAAGTTTCATTAGTATCTATCTTTTTTATATTTAAATTTATAAAAATATCTCTTCATAATAATGATCATGCTATTAAGGGGAATAAGGGCTGGAGCCAGTCATGTCTTGGTTTAACTGTTGGTGATCTTTATTGTGAGCTATGGCTAAGTTGTTAGTTGTTAAAAGTAAGTTAGACGTGACTCCTGTGGGTGGCATACTTCCCTTTTCTTTTTATCTCATTTCAGGAATTGCTCCCAGTACCTGGAATTGTTATTGCGCAAGCAGGTAAGAAGCATATAGATAAGAGTATAATACTCAGTATTTAACCTACTAGTAAGGATCCTGATTGTAATGTTGGTAAAAATGGCCAGCCCTGACAGTAGTTGATCCACTGGCATTCTACTGCATTTTATGGGATTATGTCATAATAATATATCATTACAGCTCCTTGTGTTATGAGGCAATGGCAGTCTTTCATCACAAAATTCATTACGCCAAAAGCAATTAATCAGCAAGTCACACAAAATGATCATACTCTATTAGAAAACATGCTTTACAGAGTGTTATTGCCCCGAGGACCATGGATTATGGGCGTTTCCTACAGGTCCTTTTTGCTTAGGCCCTTACTTAAACTGACAATGTATAAAGCACTTCTGTCCTATCTAGGAATCCTACAAATAGGGTAATATATAATTTAAATCAACAGCAAGAAAAAGACAATTATTTGTCAACTACAACCTCTAAAATTATATTTTTGTTCCAGAGGAAGGACAGGAAGTACTGGTGGCCAAAAGACAAGTGAACACTGAAGAGGAGGAGAAGGAAGAAGATGAAGAAGAAGAGAGAAAGAGGGAACATAGAGAAGAAGAGGAGAAGGAACATACCGGTAGTAAACTTGAAAGGAAAAGGAAAAAGAAGGACAGAAGAACAACAGCAAAAAGAAAAAAGGAAAAGGAGGACAGTTGTTAAAAAAAAGGATTTTAAAGGGACCCTGGTCAGCTGCACTTTTGTTTTTGTTTACCTTTGGATTTTCAATTTTTCAGAAACTGATGTACAAGTTGTTACTTTTATGCAGTAATAGTTATGATTTGAAATTAAAAGTTAACCTTTTAACTCCCAGATCAAATTTGTTATTCTATTCAATGTCAACCGTACAATTCTTTTAATGTTAGTTCAGAGAATTAAGTATTGGATCTACTAATTATCCCCCAATTGATCTTTTTCTTTATTCTCATCACTTATCTTGTTACTATTGTAAGGAGAAATTCTGTCTTGGTCACTCATGGGAGTTATAGGGTTAGTGTTGCACATGCAGTATGGCCTGGTTTACTTGTGTCAGCTATTACTATTTCTCGTATGTTGTGATATACGCTCCTCGTTTGAAGGACTTTGTCCTCTCTCTTGGAGGTTTTGTTGTTGTTGTTGTTTTGTTTCTATTTTTTGAGGAAAAAAATCTCACTTTGAGGAAACTGTTCACATTGAGACTTAGGAGTGTTAAGCTTCCTGAAAATTAGCCACAAATACCATGTAGTCAAAGGAGCACTTTAGTTCCTTAACTGTTTATCACACTTAATCTAAGTCTCTTATCCCCTTTACTTGTATGGATCATATTACATTTTCCTTTACTCTGCATTAACAGATATTAATAATGGTAATTGAACTGAGTGGAGTGCAATTTGGGCTGAAATCATACGCATGATTTCATCCATTTTGAAATCGCCCAAGTACAGGACTTGGTCAGTTCAATGCAGTACTGAGCTGGTTTGAAATAAAATTCATCCATTTTTGGGGGGAAAAGATAAGAGTTTTGGAAACAAAAGTTGCAAAATTTGCCTCATGATACTCATTGTCTCTCATTTTCCTGCAATTTGATTGGTTGTTTTCAGTAGACCTTGAAATCTGATTGGTTGTTTTGTTTTTAGTGAAGCCTCCTCACTGGCTGGGAAAAAGATATGATTTAAAGCAAAAAATGGTGCAATTCAAGAATAAATCGCACCAATTAGAGCCAATCAGATTACAGGGACTAACAGTGATTTCAAAATGGGTGTAATAAATAATGGTAATTGAACTGAGCAGAGTGCAGTTTGGGCTGAAATCATATGCGTGATTTCAAAATCGAATGAGTGCGCAGCGCAAGTTCAATTTGAAATCACTAGTATGATTTCAGACCAAAATTGCACGACACGAGGTTCAATCACCACTCTATTGCATCCATTTTGAAATCGCCCAAATACAGGACTTGGTCAGTTCAAACATTTTATTGATGCAGTACTGAGTGGGTCTGAAATTAAATTCATCCACTTTTTGGGGGGGAAAAGTAAGAGTTTTGGAAACAAAAGTTGCAAAATTTGCCACATCATACTCTGTCTTTCTTTTTCCTGCAATTTGATCAGTTACTTTAAATAAGCCTTGAAATCTGATTGGTCATTTCGTTTTTAGTGTAGCCTCCCCATTGCCTGGGAAAAAGATGCGATTTAAAGCAAAAAATGGTGCAATTCGTCAATAAATCACCTCAATTAGAGCTAATCAGATAACAGGGACCACCAATGATTTCAAAATGGGTGTAATAAAGCCTAAAACAAGTAATGAATACAGTTCTACATTTCTTTTAAATGACACGTATGGTTATGTGTAACATAAGAAGTGTCCTCATTGTACAAAGAGTTTTATCCCAGGGTGTTCTATTTGTTCAATCAATGTGTTAGATTTAACCTCTCAATCAAAACAATTTTACAATCAGATATGATTTGTGACTCTATCTTTGGTCCAAAAAAAGGAAGTTTCATTTTGTCTGTAGCATTCTGCTCAAGAATAACCATAGTAAATTTTTACAGCCATACTTACAAATTCAAACTTAATGTTTACAATTTTTTTTTAATTTGAATACATTGATGACCAGAGCATATTATGAAAATATACAAAGAAAATAAAACCTTTTGAAGTAAATAATAATTCAAAGATAACTTTCTTTTACATGGACACAAAAGAGACCATATATTAGAATAGGAAAATTTGGAAGACTTTCACAAGAGTATCAAAATTTAAGCTTACATCAAACTCAATACCTTACTTACAGTCATGCCTACTTTGTTGAAAGGGTGGAATTAGCTTCCTTGAGTGATAGCTCCGTGATTCAATAGAGCAGGGACCCTTTGTCTTAATGCTTGCTTTGCACTGAACAATAAGAACATTTAGAAGTATATTATACAGTAAATATACACATTTTATGGCAACAACTTAAAACTTTTATATATTTTGATGATGAACGAGAAGCATAGAAACCAAAAAAAAAGTCACTGATGTACATGTTATTAGTGTTATGGGGAACTTGTTATGATTTGGAAATAAAAGTTAATGTTGCACATGCAATATTGAAGACTTCCAAAAGAGAGCAAAAATTTATGCCCATGTTTACTTTACTGAAAGGTGCAGAATAAGGGTCCTTGGGTGAGAGCGCAGTGATTAAATAGAGCAGAGACCCTTTGGCTAATTCTTGCCATGCACTGAACAGAAAGCAAAGTTAGAAGTTCATTACAATATATATATATATATATATATATATATATATATAGATACACTTATGGCAACAAGTTAACACTTGTTTATGTTTTTGATGATGATCAATAAGCACGGAACCAAAAAAATTCAGTAACTGATGTATACGTTGTTATTGTTATGCAGTACTAGTTATCATTTGAAATTAAAAGTTAATGTTGCACATGCAGTATGGCCTGGTTTACTTGTGTCAACTATTACTGTTTCTCGTATGTAATGATATACGCTTCCCGTGTGAAGGACTTTGTTCTCTCTCTTGAACACTTTCTTGCTGTTGTTGGGTTTTTTTTTTTAGGAAAATTCTAATTTTAAAGAAACTGTTCACCTTGAGACTTATGGGTGTTAAGCTCACTGAAGATTAACCACACATACCATGTAATTAAAGGAGTACTTTAGTTCCTTAACTGTTTATCAGACTGAATTTAAGACTCTTATCCTCTCCGCTTCTATGGGTCGTACTAAATTTTCCTTTGCTCTGCATTGACCGATGTTAAGCCCAGTACAAGTACCTAAAACAATTGAATACAATAAATAATATAAGCTTAACTGCTTTGTACCTGCGATGTACACTCCATTTTCGGCGGGTAAAACTTTTGGAAACCAAGAAACGAAAATTATCCTCTGTGCTTTCTCGCATTCCATCTATTCATCTCCCATTCACTACTTGTTTGCGGTTTCTTTTGGCATGAAATCACAGAAGCACCTAATGCAGCTTGTTCAATCGCTGAGCAATCAATGCGCCTGCAATCATTTGCTCAGTGGATTCTACCCATACCGATACAACCCTTCCGGGACCCTGGGCCCTCTCGAATAAGTAAATTACGTTTGCCGCCTGGTGCATTCCTTCCTTCCTTTCTCTCTATTTTTTCTCCCTACTTACCTCTCCTCCGTTCTTTTTTCTTTTTTTTTTTTCTCGATACGAGCCTCGATTAAAGAAACGAGGCTCGATTGAAAAATGGAGGCTCGATTGGAAAATGGAGGCTCGATTGGAAAATGGAGGCTCGATTGGAAAATGGAGGCTCGATTGGAAAATGGAGGCTCGATTGGAAAATGGAGGCTCGATTGGAAAATGGAGGCTCGATTGGAAAATGGAGGCTCGATTGAAAAATGGAGGCTCGATTGGAAAATCGAAGCTCGATTGCGTAATCGAGCCTCGTTTGTCGCAGAGTGGCAAAACGAGGTATCGTGGTCGTTTTAGATCGAGAGTTTTTGGACTGGTTTACCAGAATCCCAAAACTTACCATCTCTCTCAGTTATTCTATTTACCTCAATCTTTATTTTTACCTTTTTGAAACAGAAAGGTAAACTAGACGGTGCAAACTGGATCATGAACGCATTTCCTCCTTGATTCAGTTTTGTTTAGTTAGCAAACATTAAATGCTTACTGCGGAGAATGACTCACACTGTTTGAAAAATCACGTGACAGATCGCTTGCCAGGTCAGACGATTCGTCACAATCCATCACGTTGTCTACTATTTTGTTTGTAATTCATGATTAATTTGTTTCAAAATTCTCCACTGAATGTTTACCAGTTATTTATCTTTATCGTTTTGTAACGTAGGTATCCCGGCGATAAAGTGCGATGCTGTGTTAATTTTTTGCAACGTCAGCACGTGCAAACGGAAACCAGACTCATTCCTGAAGAAGGGGTTTTACCCTTGGCAAGGCAAGGTCTGTTCAGATTCTTTATCAATGATTGGTCCCTTGCACACTCCTAATAAGGTCTATAAATAACTTTCTCTGAAATGCTTTTCTCACGAGCCAACGCCCGGTAATGTCGCTATTATAAAAAGCTGGGATTCGAAGTTTTATCCCAGACCATCTTAGTCGCTTCATACAAACTCCATCAGTTGCTGTTGAGAAGACGATCCTTAAGCAAGAGGATGTATGCCCTTATTTTATTCAGTGAGTTTTAATACCTACTCAGTTTTATACTTAGTATTTGTTTGGCGCATTTTCGTGTAAGTGTCGAACGGAGATTTTATGCTTCCGTCTGCAATTATGCGGAAAGATCAAGCACATCCCCCACAACCTTGAGAAATAGCGGTTTGACTATCTTTGAACATGCTTCAACTTTCTTTCGGTCTACCAGTTCTCCCCAAACGATATGTCCTTGAATAGTTTCCTCGGAAAAGCCTCGTCTTCCTGAAGTCCAGCAATCGAAAATTTGAGCTCCGAAATTAGAGGTTAACTCTGTAATCATCTAAAGGTTTTCATTTACACATTTATGAAATTCATATTTTCATGCTTCCACGAAATGGAGTTTTCTAGATCTCACATTTAATTCATTCAGCGAATCTTTTTCGATTTAGGAAATAGACGCAGAAGTTTGTAATGTTTTGATTAAATTTGGCGTTCTAAAAAATTTAAAACGATTAAAAGGAAAGACCTACCGCAGAAATTATTACGAAGACTCCACACTTAGTGAAGGATTTGTTTGAGTGATATACATTAACTTCTGGGTCTAATTGCGTCCATGGTCACAGGCGTTGTGTTGGTGACAGCTCAAATTTCAGCCCTCACGCCTATCCCAGTGCGTGTGCACTTTATCACCGAGCAGAACCAAAAATTAGATGGGGACACGACGAAAGACTACCTCGCGGCTCTGTGTGGAGGCTGTGCCTTTCAAGGTTTAAAAGCTCTCTTCGGTGTGAGCCTGGTCAACAGGGACTGGAGTTACGACACGGGATACTACATGACAATAACCGTGAAAGATACTGATGGAAATTTCATCGCTAACAATTCTGATGCAAGCGGCATACCAGTACCGGATTTCAATTTCACCTATGTCGCCAAGTAAGAGTTGTGCCATGAGTTGAATTAAAGCTTACCAGTCAGCATAGTCACGTGTTATCTCATCCACGGATCAAAATGTGATTTACTTGACAGGCACTATTTATGATCAGATTCCTTTGCAGGAAACAAATAACTTTTTAAATTTTACCTCGCTCTTCAGTAGTGGCTTCGAAGCTCAGTTGGAGGTAGTTCCGATGTTTTATCTGAAATGCAGCCAGGAATATTTTGATCGGACTTCATAATAGCTCAGATCTCTTTTAATCTGTAAACACATTTCGATCGCTAGTCAAACTGATCTACTCCATACATATTATTTGAAAATTAGTAACGTTAAGATAAACCTTGTTTCACTTCAGTTGTGAGACTCCGCCATGACTTCATCTTCTATAAATAGCTCTTCCAACCTGAACTGAATTGAAGTGTCTTACTTATGCGGATAGTTGAACAATTCGATTTTTTTTTCCATATAGGTACAAAAATCTGTTCTTCCAAGTTGTAGCAGGACCAGCGGCTACATTTGTATTCACGTTATCCCTGACGTTCGATTACACGGACCGTGTTTATCCGCAAAGCGAATGTACCCATCGATGGCAAATGACAACCTCGGAAAACACTGTGTGGCGGAAATACCGAGGAGGAAATAACACAGGTAAATTATATATGACTGTTCAATTCATTGTTTTCTTTAATCTACTGATATTCCCGTAAATTAATTCCGTAATAGGGGCCTTAATTAAGCAGTCAGGAAGGCAACGCCGGGAGAAACGTCGATTAAAAATGAATTTACATTTTCATTTAGAATGTCACGCATAGCTGGATGTGCCTACCTTCTCTTACGAGATTATACTTCTTTTGTCACAGCTTTACTGCAGCCGGTTTTCAAAACAGCAATCACTCAGTCTATTGAAACTGAGGATTTTAAGTTGTACCGCCTTGACTATTGCTTCGGAGACGAACTTTCCTATAAAATCACCGTCAGCGTCATCACAGAGGATCAAAAGTCTGGATTTGTCACATATGTTTGCAAGAAGACGTACATGATAAAACACGGAAGATGTGATGTACGAACCCCATATCGTGACATATCCGGGGGCCCCGTGAACGTAGTGGTGATGGATGTGGAGAAACCAGCTGACTTTGGACCTGTTCATGTCCTTCTTAGTGGGGATGGGCGTCATGGCCAAAGTAACCGATTTACCTTGGCAGCCTCGGTCCCGTATACGAGCACTGATCGGCACGTAAGGCATGGAGGAGCAACAGTGACTAATTAGTGAAGCCAGCACCCCTCCCTCTTATTATTATTCTTCTAAGATTGATGCGGAAATGAATCCGTTAGCGTTATATAGTAAATCAAAAGCATGAGAAGACAACTATTGCACATTATTATTATTTTTGGTGTTTTTTTCTTTTTTTTTTTTTTTTGCTTAAAATGTGGCTTGGCTATTTGGTTTAGTGCCAAAAGTTTCAAGCAATTATTCGCTTCGTCAGGTCTTTGAATAAACTTATCATCAATTAACTCTATATTTGTTTTTTTATGTGCGTTTGAAGTCTTTCAATATAATTTCTCCCTAAAGACCGGTTATAGACCAACATCCTGTTTACTCATAAAGGGTATCTGTGAAATGTCTCGTTTGACTAAACGCCTTAATGCCTGAGTTATCAATGCTACCCACTTTAACTTAAATGAGATCATTCTAATATCGCCAGAATCATTAAAAGTTAGTGCTCGTTTAATTTTGTTATGTCCGGCATAACAATTCTTCCAGAGATCTCTCCGTGCTAGGAAAGCAAGAGAAGTGCCGCATCCGATGTAAGGTTATCAAGCCCAATACAATTTTCCGTATGCGAAAGACGATTTTCCGATGAGCCAAGATTAAAAATTATCTTTAAATTCGTAGACTTCTTTTCAAATATCATCCTGTTTTTCTGGGAAACATGGGAAAAAATAGTTGTTAAAAGTAACAGTTACGTGCTGGAATGAAGGTAAAAGGTCACAAGTGATTTCCGGGCAGACTAGTGACCGACCGACTTGTTTCTTCCCATAAATTTTTTTCTAAAAGTTTTCTTTACCTTAATTCGCAGGCCATGCAATCGCGAATTTTGAAGGTCTAAGTACTGTTCCTCTCAAAAAACCCGAGTTTCGTGTATGCGTGACGTATGCTTATGACAACTATTGACATCTTCCGCTACTTGCGTGACACTGAACAGAACTCACTTCAATTGTTTACGTCAGAAAATAAGGCTTTCTTCTGCCTTCAAATTTAGAAAATACAGATAACCGACTTTATTCTGGAGGGAGGTGGAGGGGTGAAGTAACAAGCTTAATTCGCAATGAGGTTCGTCTATACCAGTCATTCCCGATAAGAAGCTAAATTAGAGCCACGTAGAAATTTCAGCGCTTATATGCAAATTTCCACGTTCATGTGATAGTCGCGTGATTCCGTCATGCGATCTTTAAGGTCAAAGAGGAGAACACGAAATCTTTAAAAAATTAATCAGCCATTTATACTTGGAATATGTTTATTCTAAGCCTAGAGGAAATGTTCATCAGACTGAAATTTTTCATTTTTAGGTTTAGCATTTAGCTTTTGTGGAAAAAGTTTCCTTCCGGATTGACTGGAATACTCAATAATACTTGTCAGTGGATTGTTTTAAAGCGCCATTTTTTAATCCTATTTTTCCGATTCCGAGAATTGGGTTCTGCCCCTTTTTTTTCTGCATTTTTAAGTATTGTTCGCAGAGCCAATAAAAACGGTTCATTGGCAATTGTTGACATCACCACACCTTGCAGCTGTCTAGGTCTTAACAAAGCTAAGAGTCAATCGTGCGTTTACTCAAACTGTCACTTCCGCACGACAATCAACTTCTCTGGCGTTGCTTTTGAGGTATCAAGTCCAAAATGTTTGCCTTGCTTCTTCTCGGTAAGTTTTATAACTCATCCATAGAAATCATCGCTGATTAATGACTGGAATTCTCATTTATATATTGTGTTCTTTTATCTGCACACGCGCATTTTTATGAACTTTGTAGTGTATCCGCACTGCCAGGGCGCGATGGCTCGCATCAGGCTTCTGTTAATTGTTGTCTGCAAGAATTGAGACTGATTACACAAATGCATACCTTGAGTAAGTCGTAGATTTTTTTTATGGACGGTCTGAAATTTCTCGTATTGGTTATTTCAAACCCACCACGTTTCTCATAGCTCATCTCGCCAACCAGACATTTCTTAGTTTCTATTTCCAAGAACCCAAGCCGAAAGCGGAACTATACAGACTTCCTGTTATAATTACACGAATTCCGAGAAAAAGGATGAAATTTGTAGATAGAAACAAGAGAGATGACACGTTTTGAGCTCGGTAAAGAAATAGAGAAGGATGTTTTTTCCGTCTTCTCACGGGCGTGGAACAATCGCCTGATGAAGACTAGCAGTATTGTAGTCGAAACATCGCGTCATCATCGCCTGATGAAGACTTGCAGTATTGCAGTTGAAACGCCACGATTAACATCCAAAGTGACTCCATCGTGAGACAAACGAATAATTTACAGGTAGAGCATTGGAGCGCGGAATCCGAAGGTCTGAGGTTCGACTCAGAATGTTTCCTTTGTCCCTTCTATCCGTTATACCACAATGAACAATAAAAACTTCGTTTAAGTATCATATATCATAATATAACCACAGTTCGACTTTCTCCCAACTTGTCTTTTAATAAACTCAAGTCGTAATTGAAATTCGTGCCAATTTAATTGAAATTCGTGCCTATTTTAAAACCTCATGTAATGTCGATCACGATGAATTCGCGTGTTCGTCGACAACAGTTAGTGGTCCTGCAAAGTCTAATCACACATGCGTGAACGGTTGGATCTTCAGAAACTCGTTCACTCGGAAGATCAGACTTGTACGGCGTTCCATCGATTCACAAACAAATCACGCATTTCTTGGATGGGTTCGTTCAAATGGTGTTATTTGCATCGGTTCTAAGAATAACAGCAAATGATTGTTTTCACGGTTATAACTTTTTGGCAGTTGTCATGGAGACGTGGGAATAAAATGACGGGATATTACCAGGACAAATCACTCTAGGCTGACATCGCTGCTGGCTTTTATGCTTTCTTCTACAATAAATTTCTTTTAATTTACATCAATTTTAATTTCTTTGCGTGTATTTTAATTTGATTGTAGGTGGTACGTCGTATATCTACAGTTTGTATTTACATACATTAGTTCAACCTCTCTCCCTCGAGGTTCGTGTTCAGTGTCTGGTTCTCTATTCGGGAGGGTTCAGGTTTCCTCCCCAGATATATAAGGGGGTTTTTCCTGACGGGCAGCAGCAACGCATTTGTAACTTATACCAGCGATCATAGACCTGTCCTTCAGAGTTTGTTGTCAACATTGTCATTTTTTTTTGTTGTTGCTGCTTTTGCAGTATTTACGTGATTGTATGAATAAAAAGAGACTGATCCTTGCTTTATACTGGGCCTCTATCCAGCACAGCAGTCAGTGCTCCTATTTTACAATGAGTGATTCACTGTCCCGATTGTCTACCATTTCGAAAATAGGGAATAGTTAAAACATGAATTTGTAAACTGCAATTGGTGAGATTGACCATGAGCCTGTGCCAGAAATCCAATGCCTTCGTTCCAACCGTAGAGGATAAAATCACTGAAACTCGCTAATATAAAATGCTGAAGGCTAGCGGTAAATTTTCTCTCGGTACAAATTACCTGAATTCATGCTTAGGTTTATTCAAAATTTGGCAATTTATTGCTCAATATCCAAGGGCCTAAAATATGCAGTGGCTGACAAGGAGGAAAAGGAAACGTCCATGCAATAATGGTGTTAAGTTTCACATATTTCAACACAGGCTCATAATGCCTAATCGAGTGGCTTATCAGATTGTTTACGTGATTCGTTTTATCTTGATCGCTCACACAGCCAGCTGTAAAAATCATGATCATAAATTAATGTAACTGATTATCAGATAATTTCATTCTTCTTTACTTTTTATCACTTCCTTCCAATTATTTCTCCATTATTCTTGTTTATTAACCATTATTCATTTTTCATGATTCGTAGGCGCTGTCTTTGTCTTTGCCCAAGCGTCACCTTTCAGGATGATTGAGCTTGAAGATAGTCTTCCGCTTGCCCCAATCCCCATTCCGGTGGAAGTACAGTTTATCACACAGAAAGATGAGGTATATACTGGCAAGAAGAATCTCTCCTATCATGCTGCTCTCTGTGGGGGATGCAGTTTTGACGGCTTGAACGCTCGCTTTGCAGTTAACTTGGTGAACAATCCCTGGGACAAAGATGAGGGAGATTACATCACTGTCTATGTCAGAGCAACGGATCCTACTGGCACGATCATTGCTTCGAATGAGGATGACATTCTTCCTGACTTCAACTTCACGTATTTCGCTAAGTAAGTACAATCCCACACTGACTAAAAATGATGTTATCCAATATTTGGGGGGTTATTATACTGCTACCTGCAACCAGGTAACTATGCGTGTGTGTGTGTGTGTGTGTGTGTGTGTGTTGAGATGATGGATGGACGGATGAATGATGGATGGATGAAGAGACAAATAAATGAATCAGCTGATTGATAGCTTAATTGGTTGGTTTATAAAGTGTTTTCCAATGTTAAACTTCATTTTTTGCCTTTGCTTTTGATAGCTCTATCAAGCTATGTGCGATGTGTTCCAATCCGAGAACCGACGTTCATGATCAATCAATTCAAGCAAATCATCTACCTTCTTCAACCTTTCCTTTTCCTTCTCTTGGTGGAAATCATTTGAAGTGTTCTTAAGTTTTTCTCTTCTTTTTTTTTTTCCTTCGTCAGGTACAAAGATTTGTTCTTTGACGTCATAACAGGCCCAGCTCCCTCCTTTTCGTTCACCCTTTCTCTGACATTTGATTACAAAGACAGAGTTTATCTCCCTCGACCCTGCGTTCCTCGTTGGCAAATGACTGCTGAGGAATACGCTGTAGCGAAGAATTACAGCAGTAAAGATGTAGATTCCGGTGAGTAATTTTGTATCATTATCTTTTCATGGAGAATTTCCTTTCCATATGGTGAATATTGTATTAAATAGTGCCTCCACTTAACGTGTTAAATCCTGTCGCTATTTTGGATGTTAGCGTGAGTCACGAGAATGGGTTGGGTATCAAAAGATTTACTGAGACAAATACCTTAGGTTCCAAAATACTAGCCCTGTTCAAAGCCTTGTTCGCGAGAGCCGTTTAACCTTAATGAGCGCCCTAACCTGTCTTTTCGAAACGATTTTAAAAGAAAGAAAGGTTTTAAGCCATGTCTTATTTTAATCATTCCATAGCATACGACCTTATACCAATTTTCAAAAGCGCCTCGACTCAAAGCGTCCTTACAAGGAACAAGAAATTTT